AATATGTGATTTATATTCTATATAGGGTTGCATATTATAAGTTGTATATAGTAATATATATATATATGTCAATAAATGAATGAATTTTATGCGATTGTTCATACTTTTATGTTACAGGTGTATGTACATTTTTTCAAAAGAACAGAAATTAAAATCAGTTAAATTTGTAAATATCTTTTATTTATACACAGCAATATATTACATTATTAAAAAGTCTCGTGTGTTATTTTATGAATACACGATCAATTTCTTAATAACAATGATTTATACATTAAAATAAATCACTTTATTCGATCATTGGTTTTCGTCATTCGTTATTCGATCTTCTTCGTAATACGTAATAATACTTCGCCAAAATACATATTTCAAGTAATTTTTTAGCCTTCCACGAGATAATCGAATTTTTCTACCCGAAAGATAGAGACAGAAGAGTTAATTTCTACAGCATAGGTAAGTAAGTACGCGTTCAATAAAAATGAAAGAAGATAAAAGTCTTTAAAGTTATACTATTGTTCAACTTTTCAAGCTTTTAATTGATGTATTAAAGTCCCTTCAGCGGAAGCCGAAATATAAGAACTTTTCTTCGTGTCGATCAAAGTGACGGGTTTCAGGAAGATTTGTAAATTTCTAAGGTAAATTGCAAGATAGCAGGCTTTTAACTGATTTGAATTTGAATTTTAATTAAGATCAATTTACATTTCAATCGAGTTCAAGTAGTTTTATCTATCAAACTGTTAATGGCTGGTATTCAGAGTCGTTTCTTATATTTAAGATTGTCTTAAGCATTTCCTATCTCTTTGCCACTCCCTGTTTTGTACAAGAAACAGGGACTTAAGCAAATGCTTACGGTGATCTTAAGAATAAGCAACGACTCTGAATACCGGCCAATGTCAACTAAACGAGAGATATTTATATTATTCATAGCACGCTGTACAAATTATGTTGAAATTCGAAATCCGAATAGGAAGTCTATCAAAAATTATAATGAAACCGTATGACGTATCTCGTGAAAGTACCGATTTGGACTAGGAACTGGAAAAGAGAAACAGGCATACTTTTATGCATGCACAGTCCTGAGTCCTCGGGTGAAAGAAAGGAAATAAATTTTCGAACAGTCGAAATATATACAATAGCTAAACATTATGTATTTGTACGGATCCTCTTTCATCGTTTCGATGTATAAATTCCGAAATCCAACGAGGACGGTTCTAAGAGATTTCCATTACAAATTTTTGTTGTTATTTTTGGATTTCGATTGTGAAATGGAAACGTTGAGCTCAGGACGAAATTACAGGAAGGAATTTTGGTGCAGAATTTGCTAACGCTGGTAAGAAGGGGTGAAGTATTGAGTTCCCGGCGGAGCCCGATATCCTGGATAGGTACTGTTCAAAGCGTGTTGGGCGAAAAATCCGCTGTAGTCCTTATGCACTCTGCGGGGTCTGACAGCCGGGCCTCTCGCCAATTCCATCCTGGCTCTGTTTTCGGCTTCCGTTTGAGCTTTCACCGACGGCGGGGGCCATTTTAGGTCTCCTCTCATGTTTCCGCTTACTGGTGCCTTAGTCGCAGCAGGTTGTGCTTGGTAAATCGGTGCTGGCACCTGAAGCACAGTGAATCAATTGTATACCGATATACAAACATTAATATTTTTAGATATTTTTTTCTAATGTTCCTCCTTTCTAGTTATGAAGCGGACCTGTGAGATCGGAGGTTCCGGGCGGAGTGTGATCGTGGACGGTGGAGCTTCAAACGTAGCAGGAGACTGGCTTCGTTGCAATCGTGTCGTATAGTGATCTTGAGGGTGCTGCTGTAATTAAAAATACAATTAAATTAATGAGACGGATGGTTCTTTGTCACAAAAAATTCTTCACTATACATATGTTCCGTACTCAAGAGAGATACATCTCCAAACATATATGCCGTTGACTACACGCTCTGTTCCAAAATACAACATAAGGGAAATACACATAAAACAACTTATAATGCAAACACGGTCCTTGTCATTGATCACCATTTCTGCGGAGCGATCCACCTGTTAAATGTTTGAATAACACATAGGTGTCGACTTTCGAAATAATCCAACTACCTGAATGCATATAGTACTAAAGTTGAAAAGATATGCAAAATATCCAGTTACGAGCCAATTAAGAGCAGGAAGATGCAAAGATTGATATAAACAGCTTTGTTCTCAAAGAAGAATTTAATTTTCGTTCTACATCTGATTAATTTCTTCTGATAATGAAAAATCGTATTAATTTATAATAATACTAGTCGACACCTATGCTTCGATCACTTACCTGAGGACGTTGACTCTGTTGTTGCTGTTGCTGTTGCTGCTGCTGATTAGACCAGCCCGGCTGAATCAGTTGAGGCGAAACTGGAGTAGATACTGGGGGTGTCACCGGTCGCCAACCCTTTGGCACCGGTTGATGCAATTGTGATGGATGTCGCAACGTTCCACCAGGACTAACCGGTGAGGGTGAAGACGGTACTGCAGAGGAGCGAGCGATCGTCGACGGTGGCTGAGGCGACGAACCTGACGAGGGACTGCTCTGGTACGAGGCGAACTCACCGATTCCACGGGTCTTTTCAAGGGAAAACAGAGGCTTTTGTAGGCAAAATCGAACGATGGATTCTGTTCGCCGGATTCGCTTATCCTTCTGAATTTTTCTGATCGAAGGTGTTCGTATGGAAATTATCTTGGCACAAATACCCGCCTCAGTTACCGTAATTGTGTAGTCAACCGCGTCGACAAGTAAACACGCAACATTATATACATGTAGTATCAAACTGGTGCATATAGAAATTTGAATGCCTGGAGCTATTTCAATCTCTCGTATGTATTCGATGCATTAAAAATTGATATTTCGTATGCACCATTTCAATACCAGTTCACGAACGTACGTATATAGGAACAACGTGCACGAATGAATTATAATCGTTCTATCATGGATTAACAGCAAGCACAATAAGAACGAAATACTTACAGTACTGGACATTAGATTATTTTCACAACATAATTTTTCTAAATTATATAATTTTTTATGACCATGGTTTCTAACGATATTCGAAGAACGTATAATTTATTTATCAAAGTTGATAAATATTAAAGAGGCACAAATATTTTATTCAATACTGCATATTAAATAAAAGGGGGAAAAAAAGTGGATGCATCCAGATGCACAAACAACGAGACAAAATAAGACAAAAATCACATGTAACTCAGCCGAACGTATAACTATGTATACCGGAAAGTCATTAAACTCCCATGTATTGAAACTACAGAGAATTCTGTATCTGTTGCTCAATACGCTATCGCTAATTTATTCTATCACAGACAACCGTACTTAATTTCCACTGAACAAAATCAAGTTCATGTATTTACAGCGCTACGATAATATTCCATGAATCGAAACGTTTACCTTCACTTGTACAGGTCCTTGTTCAACGAAATCGTAGTCTTCGTCCTCTGGAGGTGGAGGCCAAGCTACACGCTTGAGAGCTACAAATAAAAATAATTATTATTAATCTTTCAAACGATTCCTCCATGGTTTCGATCGTCATCAAATTCTGCAATACTTTTCTGCCTGATATAAAATTAATCATTATACAAGCCGACTATTCGTAGTAGTCGACGAAGATACAAATTGGATATGTGCATTATAAATAAAATAGTTTATAAATTTAGTTTACTTGTAACAAATTTCGTTATGACGGCATCGATAATAATTTGAATATAAACTTCCACCAATGTCTACTTTTGATCACGATACACATACATACATGTATGCCGACGCACTTGGCTAGGATTACCGGCTCAAATTTCGTTCTACATGTTTGATAAAAAGAAGCGTGGAAAAGAGTGGTTATTGCGTCAATAAAGCGAATTATTATTCATGCTACTACACCAGCAGCGTGGCACCGGCCAAGTTTATATTTATGCGATTATTGCAGAATTTTCACAATTTCGAACGACCTTGCAGTATTCTTAGGCGCTTTAGTATCACAGCCTTGAATATTGAATATAAACGGAGGACCACGGAAATATAAATACATTTTTTTGGAATAGAAATTAATTTTAGCAGCGCAATCATGCCTGTCAGACTATAAAAACTTGAAAAGATTTTAAGATCTCCATTTGAGACGAAATAAAGAAAACACTGTATTTCGTATTGCACAAATATGAATAATGTTAAAAAATAAAGATTCGATTGACGTAAGTTTTGTAAAGATTACAATAATATATAATATATAAATATGCAACGAACAATAAAGTATTACAGCTTACATAGACTGTTTAAAGCATACCGATTTATTAGTAGCCTCAGTATCTCAGGTAACATTACGAACCAAATTTATGCAAAGAATTATCTTTAACGTACAATTTTAACACAATAACAGATATACAACACAAGCCTTTGTTAATAATTTCCAGTTCGTTATCAGAGAAAACAATTTTAACAATATTATTATTTGCATCTATGCGTAAATCGTTTCGCGAAGGAAGAAAACAGCTTTATACGTAGGTCACAAATAATTCACGGCACAATAAAATCACGGGAATTATTGCATCACTTATACGAAATCATGTCTATATCGAATCTACATATATTAAACTTTCACTGGCAACCAATAATGTGGAGGAATATTTCCTGTGGAACATACCGTTGTTTCACAGGTCTTCCTACAAGAGATCAGTCAGCGACAAAGAAGAAGAAGAAGAAGAAGAAGAAGGAGGAGGAGGTAATAGAAAAGAAAGGAAACGACTTTGCCAAAACAGACACTCGCCAACAACTGACGTTACTCCGAAGTCACCTGTACTTTTCATTATTGTACATGATCCTGGCTACGGATTTTCGAGATTTTCTGGTGACTGGCCAATAAGTGGGGATTGGTATAAAACAGGTGAGGAGCTCTAGCGAATATGGGCGAGGGTGAAGCCTGTTGAAAATGTGATACAGCGTTTTCTATTAATTTTGGTCACGTCATGTTCCTATGAATACTTGTAAACAAGGGACAAGATGAATAAAGTCTGTTCATCGCGTTAATAAATTTTATATTCATAATAATTTATGTTACATAGGTAGAATATTATTTCAAAATAATGTAACGCTTGAGTTATTCATAGTTCAGATACGTCTATTTGTACTAAAGACAATACAGTAAACGCAGTACGGGAATGTATATAAATAATATGTAAAAGAAATCAATTTGTATTTACTTTATCAAAAATTCTCGATAGATAAATATATTATAATAAATTCATGATTTCTTCTTTTATTGAAACCATAGAGAAGCGTGACTATAAATCAAAATTAATAAAATAGCGAATCTCTGACTACATTGTGAGTAGGTTAAAAATAGCTTAATTCAACGCATGCGAATAATACTGTTAGCGTTCACCTCCATGTAGAAGTTAAAACGGCATGTTTGAAAATGAGTTAGTTTCCCTCATCGTTCATGATTAACAGCTTGCAGCACAAGACTCGCTTCTTGTTAGTCTCCTCCGTTCAAGTAGGAAAAAAGTTCGTCTAGTAACAAGAAATGACAACTGCACTGTTGTAATTGTTAAATTCTTGTTTACTCACTTGGTTGTCCACTCCGCTGCCTCGCTTCCTCCTCTTCGAGCATACGTAGAACCGCACTGTTTTGTAAATTCGCCGGTTTCGCGAGTTGATTGAAATCAATTCTGAAAATGCATCAATATTTCTACTCATTACTTATGTTGTCAATCGTTCTGTTTTCATGCAAGTTCTTCGCTGCTTGTTTTACACGATGTTACGTAGTAATAAACAATTCTTAAATATTATGTATTATACCAGCTTTAAAGAATTCTTAAATCGAAAAATATAATCATATGCTACGTAATTACTGTACGTCCTAAATTAGTTGAACACTGGGAAATTTTAGAGATCCAGTAAATAACTTGTGAATTTAATTCCTACATCTCTATGCATTCTTTTTTCTCAAATATTACTTTTTTTGTATAATAAACTTTCTTTAATGCTAAAAATTCTTTCGAAAAAATAACAGAACAGTTAAAGAAGCAATTGGATGTTCCAATGATCCAATTGTTTATTGAATTTATTCACACTCTCTCATTGAAACTTTTTGTGTTAAGCCTTCGATTCGAAGAAGATTAATCGGTACAAAGTTTTGGTAACGAGTTATCACCTGTGTTGGGCGAGCATCGTGATTACGAGAAAAGGATGCGCGATACAGAAGGGAAGTTGTTTGACGTACGGTACGAGAAAACCGGCGGTGAACCATGCACCCCGAGGCCACCAAACGCGAAACTAAGTCAAGTACGGGAGTGCTCGCGGACTTTGCGCAACGGCTAGTCTCTGAGTGGGGTTTATTTCTAACTCGTGTGATTCGGCCCTCTGAAAATAACGGTCGGCTCGCCAATGACGACGGGGAGGCTGATTCATCAACCTGTAACCGGGCAACATCCATACGTTGATGGAAGATCGACGCGAACCCGTCGAACGACACACGTGGACCAGGTGCAGCGTGCTTTGATTGATGCAAGGTGGTCGTCGCCACGATGCACCGCGCCGTCGCGTCGTGCCAATCAATTCATTACGATCCACCTTGAAACCACTTCCGGGTTTTCTTATACGCGGCAAAACTATTAGTTTGCAATTGAATCGATGGTTTGAAAAGAGTTACAGACTGAACAAGATTACAGCTTATTATTACTACTATAACTATTATACTAACTACTATTATAACTACTATTACTATAAACAAGCTTATTAAAAATGTTGTAAACCATCGGATTTTTAAATATTATACGTACATCGATACTTGCTAAAGTTTTATAAATAAAAAATAATTCAGAATAACAATAGAAATGAATTTACCCAACTGCGCCATTGGACAAAACTTGAGTTTGCCTATCCAGAGTTTCTTGTATCGCTTGGGGTGAATACAAGTTGATAGGAGAGTTGAATTGTTTGTTCACAAGGACTGCCCTCGGTGCAGACATATTTATGCTTTCGTCTGAACTTCTATCACTAAAACACAACAATAGTAAATAGAATACACCTGCATACTAAGTATTTGTGATCATTATTTTACTTTTCGTATTAATCATTGATCTGGTACACCCTGTATAACTTGCAGATCGCAAGATTTGAGGGAGATCCAATCGTTTTTGGAAACTTGTTTCATTTGCATTTACTTAATACATTTTACTATAAATGAGAAGTGTCATTGATGTCAATGTAGATGTACAAAAATTTTTTGATTCTTTTCAAATCATTCCTGAAACGATGTGGCAAGCCTACGAGTCGTGTTATTGTTCGAAACGAATCCAATTAATCCGGACAAATACGGCATTATGTAGTATAATTACCATTTGGCACACTGACATAAAGTCGCTGGTAAATCATTCTGCTAATCGAACGTCTTGTGACTACTAATTTTGTAAAAGCGAGCCCGTATTCGTGTGTTATGCCACCGTTATTGTCGCGATTTTGCCAGAAATTAATTACGGATTACTCCGGCCGCAGTTACCACCGATTGGCACGCAATAATTAGAGGCAGGGAATATCGAACGCGCGATCTCCTAACATAAATACCATTAGCCAATGATGATTCATCATCGAACCGATCGCATATTGTAACGGAGTACAAACAACATCGCGCGAATTGGGTCACGAATCAACGGCACGATGTTTCGAGATCGCTCGTTGAGTGTGTTTAGATATTTGATATTCAAGCTGGTGGCGATTGTTATTCGAAAATTCGTGCCAAGAAGCTTGCGTGGGCGTATCGAAAAATGAGGGGCTGGTCAAAAGCGCGAAATGTAAGTGAGAGCGGCCGTCTCGCTCGTTATGTTACGTATGTACATGTATACTGTTCGCTGGCCTGAGTTCACTGACATACACTCACGGGTAAAAAAAGATGTATCAGCAATCTGCGTAGCAATAAATTAACACTAGATTTAAAAATAGTTACAGTAAATACTTTTGTTCATATTCTATTTGAAAAGAATAAACAGTTTGTACATTTAATAAAAACGGAGTACTAAATGAAATTAAATAAACTATTTGGAACCGATGAGTTGTAAAGACGTTATATGATTTTCAATTATTATTAATCAAATAAAATATAATCTCAAAGAATCATTTAAATATGTATCGATAGAACAGAGTGTTGCGCCCTATTGGTGGAATCGTACGTCTGGAACTCGGTTACGTCGCTGCTAATGGCCGGAAACTCGGACGAAAACAGCGAAGAATTGAAAAACGAAGATATACGTGGGCAAAGTGCGCGTTTATCTTATGAAAGTTTCGGATTCCCTCTAACGCGTCTCCGCCGAGGAGCGACCAGTAGTCTACCGCAGTTATTTTTGCTACGAAATTCCTCCGAATATATCTACATCGTCCGCAAAATCTCCACATCTCCTTCCCCTCCGTTGCACCTCGTGACCCGAACCACTCAATGGTGGTTCACTTCTGGGTCGTATTAGATTACATACTGTTACATACAGCGAGATCAGGGATTTGAGTAACGTTACGCACGTATTATACCGGAATGTCGGCCAAACTTTTCGAAAGATTCGACCGAGAAATAATAATTAGCCTCGGAGATCTATGACAAGAGCTATTTTTCAGCGTATATACGATTACTACATCGTGCTTCCTCCTTTACATCACTGATACCTATTCCAAGTTCGTTCGCTGGTATTTAGATGATGCTAAAGTTGCAGGTTGCTGTTGGAAATCCAATCATGCGTTGCCGATCCAGTAAAAAATATCGATTCGCGCATTCTTCCCGAGTATCAGTACTTTTTTAGCCATGGTGACTCACACAATTGATGAATACATTTGAAATTGATTTTTACCGATTTCTTCTATCCCGTAAATTTATCTATTATAGTAGCTTAATAGCTATTTAAATCCGAAATCATTATGAAAACGTTTTCTTGTTTTTCTAATTCATCATGAGTGTGAATATATAACACACACACACACCTGCGTCTATGTCATCTGTAAATATCGCGTGTATTCTGGCAACTTAACAGAAAACTTTCGAACTGATTGGAACATAACTTTTGTTTAACGTTTAACTTGCATGTACCAGAAAATCTATTTTAACGTTTATTACTATGACTCGTCTGCTAAAAACGTTTAGTCGTGTTTTGTATTGTGTCTGGTTTTTTTAAATGTTGAACGGTATTGTATGAAACAATGAAGTTAAACGTCAGACTTCATTTCCAAACGAAGGTATAGTTAAGTAAGAGCGCTACAGCAAGAAGTTAACTGTCTCTGTATTCAAGTAAACAGTAGTAACAGTAGGTATCGCGTGGATTAGTACGTGAAGCATAAAGCTCCATGTTCATATGTGTTGTGAATCAATAATCTAATGTGGATAACTCATCGTTAATGCTGTGCTCGTTAATCGCTTAAACTTCAAACGACTATTACCAACGACTGTTTCAAGAGTTAATTGTTAATGCAGCTGAGTTGCCGATTATTGATCGCAAATAAAAAAAAACGGGTTCCTTTATATCCCCCCGATTTATATATTGAATATAAAAGCATACATTAATTATTTCCAAGGGAATAAAATACAATGAAATTCTCTTGTACTCGATATATAATGAAAAGGAGGAACATTTCTCGAGAGGGATAAATAAGTTACGGAAACAGACAGAACACATCTTTTATCTTACTAAGCTTCAACAAATATTTGAATATCTCTCAAATTGTACGATAACAAACGATTCCTTCGACTAAAGTAAACGGAAGTCTCGATTCGATTCTCATTCGGAAAATATACAAGATTGATTATTAGCAGATTGAAAGAGATAAGTCAAAAGCCGTAATGTGAATACTATTTTTTTTCTATTACGGAAACGCTGCTTGTTTTAATTAAGTCAATCAACTGTAAGTATTCGTAGTCTTGGGTTCCAAATAATAAAAACTCAATAATCGGACTATTAATGTTTTCATTCCCTTTAAGGAAATTGTAACATTATACGTCTGTCACTGAAAGTCATAGGAATTTAATAGAATCCAGAAAAATGTGATCGGTAATGAACTACAATAAACATGAATAAGAATTTATTCAATTGTCATACTTTTAAAGTTACGCAAACGTGTACTAAATTGTCACAGGCTTTCGTGTCACGTGCGTAATGTTCAACTAAATATACATCGAATACAGTGCATCGAAAAATATCGATTACTTTTTTCTTACACTTTTCTTCGGTAAATGTTTTATCAAAGAGTCAGACAACTCGGCGGTATTTTTGGATTTGCGGCACCGAAAATCCAAAGCATGACAATCACAACGGCGGACACCTACCTTCGCGTTAGAACGCAAGGCACGCGGGTTTCTCGAGTGGTGAAACACACTGGACTCGGAAAAGCGAAAGCGCGAGAGAACTAGTAAGAACCACCCCCTCTCTAGCGAAGGAACCAATGCATCGTTCTCCGTTCCTCTTCTCATTTATTCAATAGTTATTTTCGACCCCCACCCTCTACGTCCGAAGCTTCTGGCAAACGTAGAAAACTGTTTTGCGTTTCCTGAAATTCGGTTTTTCTAAATTGTTGACCACCCTCCAACGGATTTTCTTGTCGTCACAAGTCGACGCGATAGCAAAATCATCTTCTTTCGAAATGACACGTGTCCGGGCCACGTGTAGATTAGTTAATTTGAAATCGTATTGCTTACCAAATTAGTTTTTCATCATCAGTAGAATAGAAACGTAAAAACTAGTTATAAGTACAAAATTATATTGTAACAAATTGGTATATGCATTTGTACAATAGAAATCTCTCACTTTATACCAGACGGAAAACGGAAGTATATTTTTAGACCTCCACACACTTCCTCCTTGGTATTTTTAGGAAATATCATGGTTCACAAACTATGGTAGAAAACACACTTTTCAGCCTATTACAAAGCTTTCATGATATTTATGTTGTATTTATTCTTTTATATTATATTTATAAATATATAAGAAATTGATCAATACACAATAACGAATAACTTCTGTTCACACATAATTTTCCGTACGGTTTCAAAGACACTGAAGATGATTACTTTTACTGACTTATTCATTTCTTAACGTTGTTGACACTATTAAAAATAGACGTACATATTTTACAAAAAACGATACTCCGAATATGGCACTTAATATTAAATTCGATCGTGTAATCGAGCGAATTATAATTATTATAAGAATTTTCTAATTCTACAATTACGTATAGCACTTTGGTAACTATTAAACAAATTAATGTTCTGTCATCTTAATTATACACGCATGACATTAACTGACTTAACTGAGCCTTTAATAATTTATAAATCGTACAAATCTCTGCTGAGGCTGTCCATATAATACTAAATTATTCTATTAACAGAATTAAATAAACGAAATTTCATTGCACGTCGTTAAAATTAAAATTACATAGATTGTACCATATTCAATATTGAGAAACGATAAAATTATTACAAACATTCAATATTACTTTAAAATAATAATAACGAGAAATGAAAAGCCAAATGTACCTTGTTACACGTGTTTCAGAAGAAATCGATAGGTACTTCACAATGACGACTGTTGGAACAAAATTTGTATACCGTTGTCAGTGCAGCTTGCAAAACGATAAAGGCACACAGGTACGTGACGTACACATTATTATCTTTATTATCGTTACCAACAACTGCTTACAATAATTATCAGTGGTTTGGTTGACGAAAAGCAACGTGAAATAATGTTATGCAGAACCGCGGGTATACACGTGTTACGTTACAAGATTCGAATGCCCCGCATGGACAATAGACGCAAAGCCGCTTCCCGCCGCTGGGAAGATTGGAAAATCAATAATAGTGACCGGCTTTACCGACTTTTCGAGTGACGTAGTTTCCTAAATGCATCTGCTTCTTTTTCAAGCTCCGTCTTCCTCCTTCGCGCGCGGGAAAGCTACAGCTTGTAATTGTGTCCTCCATTTTTAGTGAACCTCAGCGCCGCAGGTCCGCCAACCGTCGCCGTTGCCGCCATTATAGATTCCGTTGTGTGTGACCGAGTCTCTTTCTCCGAGTATTTCCAGGGAAAATTCCGTTTCACCTCGACATCGGAGGCATCAATATATACTCGACGAACGCGTGGAAGTCCGTGGACAACGTCAAAATGAAAACGTACAGTAGGAAGAAGGGTGATAGCCCAAGTAACGTAATAATTCATGTGAACGAACTGTGCCGACTGTGCTTGGCAAAGGAGGAGGAGATGGTGCCGATTTATGCCGACGATGAAACTATCCCCTTATCTATACGAATAATGGCTTGCGTTAACCTGGAGGTGAGTTAGATGGCTCGGCCGTGCGGGTACAGGACAGATCTAAGTTAGAGAATGGCTGAATGCACGTTGTTTCCTACGTATATTGAATGTTTATCGAAAAATAGGAATCTAGTTTATCTCACTGCGTGAGATTCCCTTTATCTCTGTCCCTTTCTCGGCGTCTACACCTCTCTTTCCTTCTGCCGTTTCTACTCGGCGAGTCCGCGTTGGCTTTATAGCGTCACTTGCACACATGCATGCGTACAGGAAACGTTAACTGTAGCTCGTGCAACGCACGACATACTGCGCAAAGCAACTACCGGCCTTACCGAGTTATCGACCTTGCGTTCATGTCGTGTTGACACCCCCTCTTTCATTACAGGAATCTAGCGAAGTCGTATCAATGCAATACACTTCGTTTACCCTGTGAATTTATAGAAATCTACAATCATGATCAATGCTTCGATGTTATCGCTTCTTGTACCTCTTCAATGAACTTCCTACCTATTACTCCTTGTGTCATACAAATGCAATGAATTTAAAAGCTGAATCATCCAATGCTCCTTCCTAGCATGATCACAATTATCATTTACTAAGTACCATTTTTAGAAAAGTTTGAAAAATCTTCATATATTGAATATTTCGTTGTAAAATTCTCTGGTATTTGTAAAATCAGATGATCCAAAGATTACCCTTTATATGTTCAAAATATTTTTTAGTTTCTTACTTATGTGTTGCCAAATTCTGAGAGACAATATATTAGAAATATGAATGTTATATTTTGCTTTCTGACTTTATATACAGGAATATAATAGTACTTTATTATATTATAGGTCTATGAAGACGACGGCCTTCCAAACATGATTTGTCATCCTTGCAAATATCAATTAGAAAAATCTTACCAGTTTAAGAAAAAGTGTGAAGCTGCTGATACTAAACTTCGCAAGCATATGAAATTAATACACCAGTTAACTGGTGAAGATGGAGAAAGTCAAGACAGTAACAGAGATGAATTAAAAGATACTAGCAACAGTGGAAAGTCTAAACAAGTTAAACAATTGTTAGCTGATTTGGTATCCACCAAGGGTGAAAGTGGACAAGCAGATGGAGATCCAATTGAAGTAACAGAAGAGGAACTTGTTGGTGGCTATATTTTAGGTATGTTATAAATTTTACAAACAATCACTTCTAAAGTTTAATTTACATGGACTTCTAATTACTTCGATTGTCCATTCTATTAAAAATAGGGATGAATTCTGAGAACTTGGAGATGGAAGAAACTATGTCAGAAGATCCAGAAAATATTACACTAGGACCTGCTGAGGAACGTGCCGCAAAGGCGCGTTGCACAATACGTACAACGCGTATTAAGCAAGAACAGGAATCTGAAGATGAAGCAGAGGAAGTACAAAGAGCGATCGCGGGTGCAGATCATAAAAATGTTTATATGATGGAAGTTACGAGCAACAGCTCGGGTCAAGGAGAATCCCTGAAATTACAACCAATTGGTGATACAATGGGTAAATAAATTTCAGATAAGTAAAATCAATGTGATATAATGTATCCGATTTTTCAACTTATGATGGTGCTTTTTATAGTTGAAACCAGTGAAGAATTGAAAGTATTTCAATGTGACAAATGTCCAAAGGCATTTACTCGAAGAATAATGTTGAAAAGTCATCAGTCTGTTCATTCTACACAGAGAGGTTTCACGTGCCAGGCTTGTGAAAAGTGGTTCCCTACAAGATCGGCTTTGATAAGACACGAACGTACTCATACCGGTAATTATTCTTTTCTTGTTCTAAATAATAAACAGGAATGAATATTTTGTCTTTGACTTCGGAATAATATTACAGGCGAGAAACCATTCGGCTGTAACATTTGTCATCGTGCTTTTGCGCAAAAGGAAATATTATTGCGACATCTCATGACTCATTCTGGCCAGAAACCATTCCAATGTCAACATTGTGAGAAGAGCTTTACACAAAGAGAAGCGTTAAAGGTGCACATGAGAAGACATCAAAAGTTGGATCCTAATGATATCCAATTACATCATTGTCAACTTTGTCCCAAAGCATTTTGTCATGCTTCCGGACTCAGTAGACATTTAGTTACACACACTGGTAGAACGTACAAGTGTGTGGAATGTGAGAAAACTTTCACTGACAAAAGTTCGCTGTTGAGGCACAGTCGTATTCATGCACCTAAAAAGATATTGACAAATTAAACTGATACATTATCAGTGCAATCTTGTCTGCAATGTCCATCGGCATCAACACCACATAACATTTCTTTTGCAGAATTACAATTTTTTGTTTAATTACGATCGCCACAACTTTTATCTCAGTATAATTTATACATATGCTATAACTAATATTATGTACTAACAATAAGTTCAATAATTCCAAGTATACGGATATATATTTATGTTATTATACATATATTTTGTTTTTAGTTTCAGTACATGAAGGAGTCTTCTATTATAGAATGTTCCTTTTTGGACTTTCTTTCGCACATTTTACATATTAACTAGATAATTTCTTCCGTATTTACGTTTCAACAACATTTGAAACTTCTGTTAAAGTAAAAGATCGAGAATCAAAGCGAACGTAATTAATGAAAAATAATTTTCTCACACAGCAATATAAACGGACCAATAATAATTCAAAATTAATCAACTTATGGAAGCGAAATGAGTTTTTGAATCAATTAATCGTCTATATTATATAAACATTGCGCGTGTCCATGTAAAAAGATATATTGTGAATAATATGATAATATCAATTTTTTCATATTAGTAGCGTGATCATTTGAAAACTGAATATTGTGTTGTACAGATATATTTTTATTATAACTTTATTTAGGAAAATAAAGGTAAATAGATTTTTCAAAAGCGTCGCAATAGAAGACTCTATTTAGATAAGAGCAGATGTTAGTAATAGTACCGTCTCGTATCATTTTTAACTTTCTGAAATACATACAAATGTTGTCACACTATTTATTTTAGAAAACATGCAATGATACTTATGTGTGTATCTCTAATTTAGTACGTTTTTCTTACTGTGCGTTATTAAATAACATTTTATCGTGTGACAACATGTTTTCTAGATTAGCGATAGGATAGTTAACTTTTTTTTATAAAAAAGAGTCGTTCCTTATACTCACTTTCATGACATTTATAAGTACTGTATACAATTCTGTACTTCTATGTATATAACATCGATTATAAGAATATATAAGTAAGCATGTTAGATATCGTTTTTACATTCCTTTTATATACCATTCCCAATTGAACAGAAAACTTGAGAAAAAGAATAAAAATTGTATGGAATATTATACGATAGGCATGCTTAGTGACATGAATGATGTTCTTTAAATTTTGAATATATCTCACAGTTCCTGCGCAGTAAATGCCGAACACCTGCGAACTGTTCGCCCCATATTCTTCTACATTTGATACCTTCGAGTTTCCAGTTAAGAATGGTACCGATCCTCAACGGAAATATAAAAGCGAAGTGACTGTATGACCCTGTCAATGCGGAGTTAGTCAACGGACCGCTGTTGTAAAAAAAAAAGCAGATCTATCCCAACTTTTGAGGGGAAAATAATCGACGCTAAACCTATATACGTATGTATATACGTCATTAATATTTGAATTTCTCCAAATCCTTAGTTTACGATTGTATGTTGTATACATAATTTCTTATTTTCTTTCCTTTCTGTATATATACGTACACAATTGTATTACCAATATGAAATCTATATCCGTATATGATACATCTAAGTATTATACCATTGAATTAAAAAATATGCATTCGAAAGGAATCTTAAGAAGGAGAAAAACATTTTAATAAAAGAATCTCCTTTTTTTATTCGTCTTATATTTCAAAGTGTATTTATAGGAATACTATTCAGCGTTATCTATATTAATAAATTAATTATTGTTATATATAATATATTACTAATATTATAATATTATTCCCATTAAAATTTCCGGAATATTACTATAAAGTTACATTAATATCCCCTTTGAAAAGGAATAAACTTTGAACAGATTAATAAAATTAGGGGCACAAGCTTTTACAATAATCTACTATTTTATTCGTTATATTAAAAGTTTTGTCGGAATTTTTCTGCTTTTTGGGCAGTGACTGATATATTGTATGTTAATGAGGATCGATCTACGTAATATTTTTACAGTTCTTAAATAGCACCATATATCTACATGTGTTAAAAATAAATAATGTATTTTGTCTAGATCACTATATTTGTAAGTTCTTGTAAATTTTGAATATAACTATTATACGATATACTATTGTAGCTTAATTTCATTGACTGTAATTTTAAACGGCGATTTGCAACTTTTAATGTAAGAATCATTTTTCTTGTAAATTATATTACACAATACAACGAATTTAAACTATCGAAGGAAAACAAATCGTTATGAGAATGTATATAAAAATGATTTATTAATCTTTTATTACAACTAGTCGCAATTATCTGTGCGACAGAGCTCTATCAATTTAGAAGATTCGTTAAACTGCATATGTATAATACGTGATTACGAGGAATTGCAAGGAGTTATTAAGTATTATACTGTTCGGAACGAAATGAATAGCGGTTTAAAATTTTATTAAAAAATCTTTTTTATTACGACTTGCATTTGACGATTTTGTGCACTTTTACACTGCCAATATCATTTACACGATAAAATCGTTACACCGTTCAACGGAAGGAATTTACTAAACATAATTTACAATTTCTCCTGTGGATGTTTAAAATACGATCACTTCACAAATTTCACGCTATAAACTGAAAAAATCGTATCGACTTTCGAGCTCCGCCACACGATCTGCATTAGATCTCCGAAAAATAAGATCTAATGTTCGAGCATTCTGCGCTATACACTGCAAGATCGACAATGGCTATTTCAATTATCTATTTAAACAAAGCAAAGAGGGAAAATGATCGTGTATGTATACAAATGTAGTGGAGTTAATAGTATTGCCGTTATTTAAATTAAAGGACAATGAGATTTTTAACATCTTAATTAATATATAAATTTAAATAAATGCGATAGTATTAACCCGTTGTCAATATCGTACCTATCGAATCGTTAAGGTTTTAAACAATATGAAGAGTAATGTCGTTTTTTATTGGTCACTTCAAATTGATTCGCTTTCCCACTTTGCTAAAATTAATGTACATAGTCACGATGAGTTTATATTTGCACTCGAACAATTAATAATTCTAACGATGAGAAACGTACATGAAAGCACCATAAACATTGGTTGAAATTATTGGGTGGGGTTTAGTATAATCTAGTGAATATTACATTGGTTATGAGTTGGTTGAACTTTCACGTACGTTTAAACAAAGTACTAATACCGCTAAAAATCTGAGAGAATAGTTTCGTCTCACATATCTGCTGGCCCGATGTTGCCAATTTACAATTCTTTTTTTTTTAAATGCGGAACGTTCTTCTTTCTACATATTTTAATGATCTTTCATCAGTTTGTATTTTAAATACGCACTGCTCACAAGCCTCGGAAGAGTAGTGTTACCACAGGCCTGACTTACTCTTCCTTCGTCTCAAGATAGTTTCAATGTACCTAACGATCGACCAATTTCAATTTAGCTTTCAAAGAGCAAAGGAAAAATGACTGCAGTCATCTGCGCGTTGGTTCTACAAAATTTGTACTATATCACGTAACATCAAATATCTCATAAAGTGGAAAAGTCTAGCGTGTTATTCTTTTTGCTAGTACTAAATTGGCAAAAGGAATCGATGGACTTGGTGAAGTAACGCGGAGACCGGAAAATCTCGGAAAACGTTTACGAGACACATGGTTATCGAGAGCAATTTGGTAGACGTTTTATATTAATAAACGCCAACATGATTTAAAATCTACGCTCTCATCAATCGAGAGTCAGAGTTTTTGGCTGTTCCCAGGTGAACCCATCTCGTCCAAAGTGTCCATACGTACTAGTTTGTTGATAAATAGGATTACGAAGATTTAACTCCCTGAAACAAAAATAATTATATATAATCTAATTTTTAATTCTCGATCATACTTATCATTAGTTTTTGATAAATTATAATTACATATAATTATACATAGTATAGGTATTATACTTACTTAACGATTTTTCCCGGCCGTAAGTCGAAATTTTTGTTAACTATATCTAACAGTTCATTTTGGGGTCGCTTAGAAGTACCGTAGTCAAAAACTGTGATTGAAAGAGGTTCTGCTACTCCAATGGCATAAGACACCTACAAATTCATTATGTCGTTAAATCTTGGAATGTATGTATTTACAGGAAGCAAATAATATTTATTAGTCAACAGTGCTCACCTGCACGAGGCAGCGTCTGCAAAGTCCAGCTTTTACCAAAGATTTAGCAACCCATCTTGCGGCATAAGCAGCAGATCTGTCGACCTTTGTGAAGTCTTTACCAGAAAATGCGCCACCACCGTGAGCTCCCCAACCACCGTAGGTATCAACTATTATTTTACGGCCAGTGAGACCAGCATCACTCTATAAAGATACATGTAATTTAAGTTATGGAAAAGTTAAATAAACATAGAAGAAAACTTGTGTTTTACCTGTGGTCCGCCAATAATAAATAATCCACAAGGATTGACATGGAAGATCGTTCTCTCATCCAGATACCTTGCTGGAATCACTTCCTTGATGACTTTTTCCATAACAGCCTTACGTAATTCGTCTAAACCAATTTTCTCGCTGTGTTGCAGTGATACGACCACTGTATGAACTCTCATAGGTACACAGGCTCCGTGATCCATAAGATATTCGCAAGTGACCTGTTTTAAACATTTTCATCGTATCAGTGATGGTTTTACATTATATTACGAGACATAAATTATATATATATATTAATATTATTTGCAATATGATTATTCTCAGTAATTAGTTTACATCATGGCACTCAAGAGTAGCAAATACTATGTGACATCATAGAATAATCTTATACAAATATACATGTGTTTTTAATTTTCATTGAGCTGTAAGAAATGTATCATTGTAATTATGTATAAAACGTAATTATATACCTGTGTTTTTGAGTCTGGTCTTGCCCACCATAGTTCACCACTGCGCCTCAACTCCGCAATCTTCTGGTTTAATTTGTGTGCCAGCACAACGGTCAGTGGCATGCATTCGTCTGTTTCATCTGTCGCGTATCCGAACATTAGACCCTGATAGAAAGATTTCAGTTAAACTTTATGGGATGTAAATTTAAAATAAAAAGTAGATTTGTTGACTCTTCAAGTAATTTCACAATATTACACAGTATTTCTAACGCAAAAGATCAAGCGTTAATACAGGACATAAAATGCATACAATATAATACTATGTGTTAATTAATTAATTCGTATTTGAAATTGACAGTAACTGTGATTATTAGGAAAATTGTTTAGTAATTTACAAAAGGGTGTCACACAGAGCAGATTTAGTAGCCAACTGTAACATTGGGGCAAAAACTAGGTTTAAGAATTTGTAAACAATGTTTATTATGTTTGTAACATACACTCCGACATGATGACATGAATTCATAAAGATAATACCTCAAGTTTTAAGTAATCAAGTACGAATGGTAAAATTAGTCAGTAGTTAAAAGTCAATTATCTGTTATGAAATGTTGTTTGTGAAATTTTAATGATAAACAAAATTGTAAATGTGTATATAAACTTGAAATTTTACAAACAAATCATGAATAACTGCATACAACCATGATTAGTGTCAAGATTAATAAGTGATTGTGCATTTTAATACAGTCAACACGATAAGGATAATCTGTGCATGAACAGTAGAAGAAACAAAATATATCAACCAGATACGAGAAAAAAGTAAGAATAAAATATGAAGTAAGCTTCAATGGGTATACAGAAAAAAAAAAACAGAAATAACGAAGATCATAAAAAAATATGAGTAGAAACTGAAGATTATGTTAGGGAAATCCTACTGGCTTTTGACCTCCACCATACAAGGCAGTCGTAAAAAAAATTAGCACTTCACGTAACACAGTGCATGTACATCATATGAAAGAAGCTAGCAGATAACAGAGTAGAAAGAAATTACAGCACACTATTATTACGATTAAACAGAAGTTCTCGTAGCAACGAGAGTGCAAGAACATAGAATTTACTACAGGTTTTAAATGATTAGAAATAGTGATAGCAATTAAATATATACATATTATTTAGAAAGCTGAGGGCTAATTGTGCTAGCTACAGATGAAACGAGAAGAGGAACAGAAAGTTCAAACGAACGATCAGAATGCTAATTGACCTGATCTCCTGCTCCAACTTCTTCATCGCTACGATTTTCATGAACTCCTGCGGCAATATTTGGTGATTGGGCATCAAGCGCCAAGAGAACACTGCAGAGCTTGTAGTCAAAACCTGTAGAAATTAGATGAATGAGATAAAAAGATATCCACCGTTATATACGCTATAACACTTTTATTACACTGATACCTCAGCGTTATATACCTGTTCATTATCTTTCTTCAAGTAATATGACAATCACATGTTATTGCTTTCGGGAAAAGAATTAAAAATAATACATAGCAATATCGTATAAAATGTTTTCCTTTAATACAACATGTAATGTGAAAGCTTGATTAGAAATCGTAGAAGATATATACTAATGTGTTATTATATGGGTCAATATGTTGTGTTGTGATAATTATGCATTATATGTGAAAATTATGATCATGATTATTTAGTGATGAGTTTCCCTAGCTTAAGAAATTTTGTTGTACAACTAGAAATTATCTGTATACATGTAAAATATTTCCAGATAAAGTGAATTCTTAAAATATAAAACATAATAAATATTTATTTGCATACACAGATTCACACGCCCACACATAACATGAGGAGAAAGTATCTGTTATAAAAGTTCCACAAAATATATTATAAGAATAAGAAGGGAAGTGGGTAAAGCAAAAAGAGAGAATGTTATTGAATTATATGGCTGCTCTGCGGCACGGGCTGAGAATGGGTTATGTACCTGATCACCTGCACCCACGTCCTTCTCTTCCCTGTCCACATGAACACCATCAGCGATATTTGGAGATTGTTGTTCGATCGCCACCAAAAGGTTCAACGTACGCCAATCGAATCCTGCCACGATCATGATATGCTTACGTTACATATTCGTACTTGTTTCTTTTCTTTTTTACTTATTTTTTCCGAAAGATAATTAGCAGGATAATATTGGTCACCCAATCGATCGAGTCATGGAATTTTCTCCAACATTTAAAATGTCTAACGTGTATGTAGCGTAAAGCACATCTTTTTATCACAGAAACGTATATTTTTACCAAAAGATATACATATATTCCTAATTGAGAAAGTTACTGCAACGGGTCTTTTGTAGATCATATTTAGTGCTGGAAGCTTTCGTGCCATGATTCGACCGTGTATTTGCAAAATCTGATTTTGGAGAACCAAATGAGGCGAATTTTGCAAGGGATAAGATAAAGTCGTCATCCGGCCACAGGGCATGCTTATATGTGATGGAATAGAAGGTGGAAATCACATTTGTTAGCAAGGAAAAATTTCAAATGTTTTAAATGTATAGATAAAATAAATTTAACAAAAACTTGGCGGTACATATCAAGGTTTTAACAAACATACATCACTAAAAAGAGGAAACACAAAGAAGAATTAAAAATATTCTTACCTTTTGATGAGTCGTCATATCCAATGTGTTTTACAGTATCCCGAACAATTTTTTGATAATCTACCACAGCCTTTGACGTGATTTCCCCACATAAAAGGATCATCCCTGTCTTTGTCACGGTCTCTGAATAAATGAGAGAAAAATGTACAGTAAAAAATCATGAATTAAAATTACTGCTTCATAGTATTTTATATTCGTAGTTTAAATAGTCTGAACTGTGAATATTGTATCAGGTACTAGATCCCTTTAGAGATCTATGATTCAAAATTAACTCAAGGTTGAACTGACTAACTTATAAATAGAGGTTATAACACTGAGTAATTCAATCATTAGAAAAATAAAAAATTATCTTGAATGGACTTACCACAAGCTACTTTTGCATCAGGATCTTGTGTTAAATGTGCGTCTAAAATAGCATCACTTATTTGATCACACATTTTATCTAAAAAAAAAGAAAAAAGAACAAGCTGAATATATTATCATAGATATAGATTTTTCAAAAATTGGCTATATTTTTCAAAATTATTTAGGTACGTGGATATACGTACAGATTAAGGACGTAATTTTATGATAAATATACGTTCCTAAAGACAATTGCATAATCGGAAAATTAAATATATACCATTTCATTTGAACTTAGCTGGTTTGTATAAAAATTTGTTCAAGCAAGACTGGTATCTTAAGTATAATTTTAAAATAACATAAACGAAATACGTAATCATTTTATTGAACAAAAGCTTCGATTTTAAATAGAGGATAATTCTACGTTGTACGAAGTATTTAGAAAGGCAATAACAGTTTCGAGAAGAATGATTTGTGACTGGAAAATAGACTAAATTCATTGTTAACCAGAAACTTATGAAACGATCCTACAACTACAACGATCCATGTGAATTACGCACTGAGTATTTCATAAATGAATTTGAACAAATTCAAAGCGAAAGAAGATACGATATGTAATGAACTGAAATATAATTTGAGACACGTGTGCGAGAAAAGTCGAGAAATGTGAGACATTAGGAATCATAAATTCCGATATTGAGGAGCACATGGCGACGCCGGAGGTACTCGGTTTCTGCTCCGATACCACTTCGAGGAAACGTGGTTCCGACCTCGTGTCTAAATAGATCCAATCTTTGGTATTTCGGAGGCCGACCGAAGACATAATCTGTATACAAATGAGTCCCAATGTAACATCATCCCCGCATTTCGGAGCTTTTTAAGGAAAGTAAGAAAGCGCGAAGGAAGTGTATGTATATAGAATCGCGGCGTGCGCACACGGTACGTATGTATGTGTGGTCCGTTGATCGAGTTTCATGGCGACACACGCGACTCAGCGACATGGAAACCTAGGAACGAACTCGTATCCGTAGATTGGTCAAAATACAAGAAAGACATGAGGCGAACGCATGCTTTTTAGAATGCCTACCTGGATGTCCTTCACCAACGGACTCCGAAGTGAAGAGAAAACTGGTGCCCTGTTGTAATTCAGGCGGCGTGTGCCCGTTAGCGTATCCGTTCATGTGATGAGCGGTCTCCGGCATTTTCTTTCTTCTCGCGGTCGTCGCTACGGGTTTTGGTATCTCGTTCCTGCGTTCAAATGCTTTGGCCACGTGTTGCGACTCAGCTCGAGTATTGTTCGTCTGACGTCACTAATAATTAATGAAAGCAAAAGGATGTACAAGTCTGGAGTCCGACACCCTGGCTTTGGGTTTCGCACGGCGGACCAGCTCACCAGCACAGCACGGAACGTAATAGTCAGACGAGCGCGGAACAAATGCACTACGGTACAGTGTGGAAAGTAAAAGAGACTCCCCGCTCTCTGGTGACCGTTATTTATAACCTCGGTACCTTCGACTTCTCGTTCGGCTAATCTCGTATCACGTGCCGCTCGACCACCCGGGAAATTATACTCGGCGCGAAATTCGATTAGATTCGCGTCTATCTTTGTTTTTACTCCCGTAACAGAAGTTCCGTCCACGTGTTCGATATCTGTTTAAAGAAATAAACGTATCTGTTACAATCAATTGTCGCATCTCAATATAACGCTTTGACAATTTAATTCATCACGAAAATTACGTTCATTGAGCATTATAATTAATATATGTACCCGGAAGATATATAAAGAAATGTGAAATGTAAAATTATTCTCCTTTCTTCGTAAAACAGCTTGAATTTTTATTTTTAAGAGGAAAACGAGGTACCTAATAAATTTTTTGTAATATCAGACACGTAATATGTATGTTAATTTACATTCGACAGTTATTATTCATAATGATTTCTCCTGTTGTACTAAATGAATTAGGTACTAGTTCTCAGAAAATTTCTATAGATTACATTTTACTCCTTATTGTATAAATACGCTGAAATTTATTGTATCTATGAACGAGATGATTTTTGCAATTATACACAATTTTCATTGATAACTCACTTTCATTAGTCTATGATCTTCTATACGAACCCTTTATTTTAATCCAGCTGGAAACTCATCACTGATCACTTAATTGTCCGGAAAATTACTATGTATAGTACGTATGTAAGATCCGATCCGTTTGTATGGAAATCTTTCAAACTATAACCGGATAATTGTGTATTGAACTTTGCGCTTTGGCTGATTCGACGAGTTATTATCGAACAGTGGTAAATATGTTTAGCGCGTTTCTCTTGTAAAACTGAATTCGTACTGAGCAGATTTCCAGTATCAGTCACACTTTTATATATCGCGGAATCTCCCTCCACGATTAGGCAACGTTTGCGTGGGGTTGAAGCAAAAGTAGGCATTCATATGAGAATGAATCGATATTACAGGGAAAACATGTGTGCACTAATTGATAAGCTCTCATAGAAAATCAAAAGAACTGCAGGATAAAATAATAAATGAAGTTGACATTATTCATTAGAAATTCTACTGTCGTACCTTTTGGCGACATCAGAGCTTTGTGTAATTAAGAATAATAACTGATAATGATGATGATTGACTAAAGATGAATAGAAATGTTAGTAAAAAAAATTGAGCATTTTTACCAACCGTTTATGGGATAAATTGTTGATGATCGATAATAATAAATATAAGAAACACTTGCAATACAAACAAATCAATTCATATTTATGTTACATCGATGAATAAATAAATAAAACTTGATCAATGTATCTTGATTTTTGTACATGAATGTTGCGTGTACAGTACTTAATACTTTATATAAAACAGTGAGTAGTGTTTTAGAAAGTATCACTTGTAGTTGTATTTTATACAACAGTTTTCGACGAAAGAAACAACACGCGCTCGTGCATTATTTTTCGCCAAGAAAACGTAATCTCAGAATGTGATACGTCACTGACACAGCTGAATATGAGCTGCACGCGAATTGCCAATAAGCAATATAAGCCGTTGTATTACAAAAAAGCTACTCTTTAGTTTACACAATCATAGTTATTTAAATGGACAGTCTGTAATTTGAAACGAAGCTCTTTGCACGTGTTTATTTTATTTTATCACTTGCAAAATGTGCGTTTAAACTTAATGTAAAAATTGCTTTATGTTTAAAAACGACACGTGCTTATTTATCTGCTTTTGTTACTTTCTTTCGCTAAAGAATTTTGACGTCTAATACGTGTTGCATCATGTAATTTCACGTGCAGCATATAATCAGGACGATTGTGTAATTATGATTCTTTTTATCGCTGTGTTGTTGTATAAGATGTCAGACCAGATATCGTTACAGAAGCTTCGTTCACTATTTCAGCTTACACGTGTAACTTTACATCAGAAGTCTTCTACGAAAATGCACTTTATCAGTAGTTTCTTATTGCTAGATATCAGGATCTTTGGTAACGTGATATTTTTACTCACGATATTCTCTTCAAATTAAATCAGAACTAAATAATACATACACGTCGATCTATGTTGGTCTAATTCGCAAATTAACATATGCAATAAGTATAAAAAATTTAATGTTGTTCTGCTGGAAGGATCTAGCCGAATAAGATGTTAAAATGTGCCTTTGAACGAAATTCAACTTGCAATGAGCCATTCGATATAGTGTCAAAAAAAAAAAAACGTTTTTTGCCCATTTTCAACCATCTACCTCAATTCGGAGGGTGGTTACGGGGTTAATCTGTTTCAGCATTTTTGCCATATTTCTCCTCGTAAATGTTTAGCAAAATTTTACATTTCTTTCCCTCAGTAATTATATTTCTTTATGTTAAATACTTCTGTACACAAAAACATTAAGCATCAATTATTTGATGAAATATAGAGTAGATATAAATAATGTTATCTTTCTTTCAAATTATTATTTATTCTCTCTTGAATACTATTGTCCATTAACGTCCTTAAATCATTAAAACAACATCTGTTAGGTTTGCGAAGAAAGGGCAAAGGCGACCTTCTTACAATAGAGGTAGTGTAACCGTCTTTTAGTTTCGGATTCGTTTATGGTCACCCTTAGCAGCAATAAGGTCCAAGGCACCTTACCTTTAAACGAACACTGTCATCTCTTCTTACATCTGCTTGTCAGAAAACGCTAATCCCGTTTGGAAATGGCCTATCTCTCGTTTTTTTACTTAGTCCAAGGCCCTGCTTGGACCTTTGTTACGGCTACGGTCAGTTTTTTTTGGGAATTACTGGACCCTCGACGGAAGATGGAATTACGAACCTTGAAGGTATCCCTAGTACCTGCCGGTAGCCGTTAACCCAAGAGCCGATAACTCACTTGATTTATAGCCTCCGAATAGCTTATTGCTAGACTTACAGTTAATCCCGTTTGTACAATTTTGTTCACTTAGAAATTAAATTAAGACACGATTGGAAACACAAATTGGTGTCATACTTCATCGATATACAGTCCACTTTGAGCATCAGAACTTCTGACGACTGAAGTCCCCCGCGTCGTTTAATCGCTACTACAGTTGTTGACGCTACGACGACTAAACAACATCTATTTAAATAATTGCTGTAAACACGCATAATTGAATTTCCATCCTCTTTCTCTCCTCGTTAGCTTTCAGCTGTTGTATAGATATCGTCATTAAACAATATTTAAATAACGAAGCGATTAGTATGCCGACTACAACGCCTTATTACGTATGAAGCAGTTTTCCAGTATAAAATCAGTATCGGGAGTGCCAGTAGGAGTCATAAGAAGTGCATGTTTGCGAGAGTTGTAAATCTTGCAAACAATGCTCATAACAATTAGGTACTTGAATCTGATTGAGACGATAACACGGAAAGTAAAGCTAACGACTTATACGTGATTCAATTCGTCTCGTAAGATTATAATATTGAATAAAAATCAAATTGATCTTAGAGCAGCAAGGTCGAGATACAAAGATGGATAAATATTAATGAGCAATTTACATGTTAACCGATCAGATTTTTCACGGTCACTCAGTCATAGGGACTTTAACTGTTCATACTGTTGCTTCAATTAATGTGCAGTAATTATTTTTAACTTCATGTCGAAAAATTCATTATTATTGACACGTTTTGTAATGAAACTTCCCAACCCTCGTCTAAATAACTACACACAATATCCAATGTACAATAATTAAATTTGTAACCGATGAGTTGAATATTTCTTTGTCATAAGTTTCACAACATACGATCATCGAAAGCCTTCAACACATATTATCACCTCCGTGATGAACTTATGAATGTGTAAGTTTTCGTTTGTGTATAAATAGGTCAGTTGCATCTACGAGTGCAATAGAAAAATAGTTTTTATTCTGTCCTGAAGGCGAAATTAGATTTTTTTAAATGAAATACCACTTGTTCATTCATTGAGCGCACATGACGTAAGAATCGACGTAGCTTGCGTTGAAATTTAAATAATATTAAACTTAATTTTGGAAACCTTATTGTATTACAATACATATTTGTGAATGGGTTTCCGCAGATATTTTCGTATCTCGAAATGATATTCAGTTGCCGGTTATAGCACAACAATAAAATATTTTAAAGCTGTGTCTATAGAATTAGATAGCTGGTTCATAAGTACACTGAATAAATTTAAATGAACTATAAAGAAGAATAACATTACATTAGTGCATGAGGAATTAATCGGATGACAATTGTTTAGTTTATGTATACATGTTGTCGATTTTTATCAATCCTAATAAAATAATTTGTTGCAATACACATGTATTAAATGATAAAAACATTACTTCATGACTGGCAATCTCATTATCACTAATGGGAAATCAGAGCATGATGACATCAGTATTAGTATTAATTTTAGCAAATGACGTAAAATCTGATCGAAATTGTGTAAATATTAAAGTTCAATATCCGTCCGAGTATCTATTTGAATGATTGAATCTAATTATTTTTAATATTGCAATAGTTCATCGATTAGGAATATGTATTTATATTTATGATAGAAAAGCGACGTTTCATACATAAACTTACATCGATAGTATAATGAATTATCTATTCAATGATCGGATATGAACGCAATAAACTTTTCTAATTCATAAGTATAAATCTCTTGTTAACAAGTTGCTGAGCAATGCCGAGTAACTATTTACCGATTAGTATAGATATCTAAGCTCAAATATGTGAGTGTTCAGTGAATCACTCACTTGCAGTGAATCATGACAATGTATCAATAAATGATGTGGTGAATTTTTCAGATTTATATTTGATAACTTACCATGTTATGTGTAGTGAGTAAGTTTTGTAGTAAGTAAGATTTGTAGCGAGTGAGCGACCTTCTATTATGTTAATTGCTATACATATCAATTGATAAAGCGTGTCTATTATCTTAAAGAAAAGGAAGAAGATGTGTATTCATTACATATAAATAATGTTAAGAAGAATGATTAAACTGAATCTACTGAATTATGAAGAAATAGGTCAAGGCACTTCATCGTGTTATCGTTCTATGTTTTCGTCTTAATTATAATCGAAACGAGTGCACAGATTACCACAGAAAACGATTCCTGCGGTTTTGAAACTGCATTAAAGCTAGCTATTTTTCAGTTTTTAGTCTAATCTATTTTTATACTAATTTTCAATCTATTAACAAGAATATGATGTAACATTATCTCATGTTTGGCACATTATATGTCGAAACCGGAGTGATTTTTCATTATCAAGTGAACGATAGTACATTTAAACACAAGACTACTTATCTAAAGAAACGTACAAGTTTTAGAAACTGCTTATCTAGAATGCCCTTAAACATTTCATTATCACAACAATGAGGTCACTATATAATTCTAAACTGTGTGACCACATGCAGTTTTGTAACTTCAAGGCTCCATTTTCAGATTTTGGGAAAAAGCATTTCGTATCTAATCATTTATATTTTGCATTATTTAGTGATTTAACATTGAATGAAATACAGAACAAATCTAAGAATGTAGTTCCTGTCGGAGGAGTTGAGGAAAACGGTAGGTTATCATTCACATTGTTCGTGATCAACCGGAAAGATTGACGATTCTCTCGTGCAGGCGTAGGAGAAATACGTGGAATCAGTGGTTCACTGACCCTTGACACTGAATCTCGTACATGTCATCGGGAGCACCGAAAGAACCATAGAACCCGCCGAAGATGAAGACTAACAGAAAAAAGAAAGAGAGATGCCTCAACCTTGACCCTGACAACCTTTCAGTTCCGCCACCCCCGTCGCAAAAGATGCATATACGCAAGCATCTTCTATCTCCGTCTTTCCTTCGCGTGTTTCCTTCACACTTTTTTCATCGTTTTCTTGTATTTTTCTTTTTCTTTATTACTTTTATTCTCTTATGGTAATGTGTGCATCGATACATTTTATTATTAACATTAGGTCTTGTTAAAGATTAGTATCTTCTATATCTATATCATCAATTAAATGTCGAGACGTGATATTATAAGTGGTTCTAAAGTTCCTATTCTTATAATGCAGTAAAGATGCAAACAAAACTAGTTTATCTAATAATATTTCATCTCAGACCGATCGATATCTGTAACTACCCAACTACCCTCTAAGCTTGCTGGAATTCTTGAAATACGGCTTATTTGATTTGTATATCTAGGAAGAACACCAACGGAAATATAATATCGTCATTTAATTTTAAGATTCATTTCTTAAAATCGTACCAACTTCCTCGGATGCTACATAAGAATTAACTGACAAAAGTGCAGTGCACATATGTATCGAATGTGCTAAATTGGGTTTCATTAATTTAACGCGTAATATTAATCTTATGAAGACGTTCGATGTTTTTATTAGCATTCTGTCCATGCATATTTCGGTATCTCTGATACGAAAAAAGCCGACCACGCGATCGATGCTCAACGAGGGGACCAGCTGCTCGAAATAGATGAGGAGAGCCTCCTAAATATTAAAGGAGCCTTTACCCCAACTCGACTTCTATCTATTCTAACAAAAGGAAGAACTGCGAATATCAGTCGTTATCGATTTCTCCTTCGTTATCACATTAACACATCTCGTTTCTATCGTATTTACTTAGTTTACGAGTGTATAAACTTAAGAGGTCAGTAGCTGACCAGTCATGTACTTCTGTTTTGTTTCATATTATCAATCGGAGGCAAACATTTGTTGATTAAAAAATATGCAATTAAAAAATAAATTATTGTACAAACAGACATATCGACGCGTGAATTCGTCTCATTGTACGTACCACGCATACTTTTGACTGCACTATAATTTTACATCGCGTCTACACCTGACTAATGTCAGATAGTTAAAAATATTACACGTATTATTTAATGACGAACTTGGATGAATTGCCATTACTTATAAATGGAAACGCCGTTTTTTTTTTTTTTATCAACATTCACAAGTAAGAATTGATCGAATCGACAAAATCATTGAACGGTAATAAAGAAAGCTATACATATAAGTGTTAGGATAAATGTACAATACCCATAATTTATATATATGTACAAAAGGAAATGATGAATGTTTGTAGTTAAAAGATTTATGAAATGTATAATTTATTTAAAAAAGTTTGCTTACGTAGGATTGAGCAAATGACTAAAGAAAATAGTAATTAGAAGGTAGCTAATCTAATATATAATTAATTCTCTTTTTGAAAATATGAAGATTCTGTAGAGCTTATAAAGTATAATAAAAGCAGAAACCAGTTTTTCATTTCACATTGTATGTAGCTACATCGATATGTATGACGACAGCCAATAAAAAACGAGAACTCGTGTTCTCTTCAGATAATTTCCACCCACTAGCACATTTCATAAACGTAGTAAAAACTTGCTAGCACCAGTGTATTATTTAAATTATTATTATTTACATATTCCTAAACATATTTCGAGAAAGTAAGGAATAAAAATGATGAAACGTGTAATTGAAAACAATTAGATATCAAATCTTGAGTTCCTATCAATTTAAATAATGTAGAAAAGTTGTACCATTGCGAGAATAAGGATATTTCTATTTAACAGAATTCTGCTTCATCTCTACTAATAAATAAAATAATATATACATACATATAATTAATAATATAAGATATAAAAATGCGCTTATACTTTCTGTAAGTTACAGTAGAAATTAGGTAGAACCATGGACCTAAAGCTAAAGGATGGGGCATTGCAGAGGTAAGGCGTGACAATATACGTAAGGGGAGTGCAGATCATGGGCGCATGAGTTCCCCTCTCCTTGCAGCAAATTGTTGGTCATATTGTCATTTTCAGTGCATCCTATAGTGGAAAATATGTATTCTAGAAAGATATGCAAACAATGGGTATGTGCGAAGCTGTATAACAGATTCAAAATAGTCCGCGGAATGTTATAGATGGCGGTAAAGTTTGACCAGTAATTTGATCCCCTCTCAGCCTCTTGCCTCATGTCCCCCCTCGTCTAAAACTACTACACGCTTCGTCCTTTAGATTCATTGGTAGAACATAAAGAATGGCAGCTCCCGTGTTATCATTGGGAGTAGTGATGGCCACTGTCGACTAATTTAAAGTATCGACTACCTAAGGCCTAAGGAATAATCGCAACGTACTATCGACTAATTAGTCGATAGTTTTTAGTCGGATGAAATATCGCTCCCGCGGTTATGCCTTTATATGTATTGTGATCACAGCGTTCATATTTAAATAGCATTTTTATTTCGCTATACTTGACCAAACATGATCTAAAGCATCGATCACGCATTACGCATTTTCGAGTCTAATTTATTGTAGAAATGCATAATTCTGATTAATAAATTAATAGAAATGCATCTTAAAATTTTTATTTCGCGATCCTTGAATAAATATAATCCAAAGCAGCGATCAAGCTATAGATTGCAGTTTATCGATAATTCAAGCAGCCGCCTGAAGTTGATTCGATGTAGTCGATAGTATCAAAGATTTAAAAGTATCGTTGGCTACTATCGACTAAATCGATAGTTTTTAGTCGATGGTGCCCATCACTAATTGGGAGTTGGGACACCGAATGGGTCGGAACCAGCGGCTTCCGTCCAAAATCCAGGGAAAGCCTATCCTCCGATTCCTTGCGACTGTCTCTTGTTGGTTGTTAGTTAGTTAGTTTAAGTAGGCTTTATCTGAATTTTGTCGGGAATGAGGAATCGAGCCAAGTTGCTGGTGGAGGGAGTATGGGATACGATGGGATACACTTTTCTGGCAGCCCTGATTGGTTGCACTACACGAAAGCCGGACACTTGCGATGTTGCCATTTTATTCTCAGCATGGCTAGGTATTAAAGTAGGCTGTGCCACCATTGTGGAGGAACGGCATTCACAAGTGATTCCTACCGGTACCTGAATATATCGAGGTATATGAGAATTTACTTCAAGATTTCTCGATCTGATAAAGAAATGTGATAAGTTTAGTATTTATTGAAGTTTACTATCTGTTGGAGACGAGTTAAACGATTGATCTGTTAGGGAAGAGAGGAACGCTTCACGTGCTCTTAATTATTACATGCGTATTCCGAACAGCATGTTTGGCAACAGAAAAGCGAGAAAAGGCGCGAAACGTTTAATTGTTTTTTTACACGTGTATAAAAAGGACCATTTTAGCTACTTTATTTCTGACGTTCGGAAAACTCTAAAATGATTATTTTTACTCCCCTTCTTTTATTTTCTCTCCAAAAAATTTTGAAAATTTTCAGAGAATTTTAAAATATGTAATTTGTGGAAATTTTTGAAAATATGTAATATTTCATGAAGATTGATAGAAATATATTAACATATATGTATGTATATACATTTTGATTCTAATTCAAGCTATTATGTTTAAAATAATTGATTTTAAATATTCGCGCTCCCATGAAGTTCGTATCTATAGTCGAAACATATACTACATGCGTTCACGATCAATTGCCAACTTCACATGTATTATTACTCTTCATGGTTGCAAACACAGTGTTGCAGTGTGTGTATAAGAAAACGCGTTTGTGAAATAAAATTTACTTTTTTTCAAAAAGAATTGACATCTTTAATCAAAAGGTCAAGTTCTGATGATGAGAAATTTCATGAAAATAAGCCAGATTTCGTAGCTGACAAAGCTAAATTAAGTATGTTACCAAAGAAGTCACGAGAGAGATATGAACAAGTGTATAATCTCTACATTGAATGGAAGAAACAAAAGAATGTGACAACTACTACAGAAAATTTTATTTTCGCCTATTATGAAGAATTTAAATAGAAATATAAACCCTCTACGGCGTGGTCGCATTTTTCTATCTTGAACATTATGATTGAAAATAAGGAAGACATTGATATTACTAAAATCTCATCTTTATAAAAACAACGTAAAAGGATTTGAAGCGTAGAAGATGAAAGTCTTCATAGACGATAATTTGAGAAATTTTATTGAAAATGCTTCTGATGAGATATATCTCGCAAGCAAGGTATACATGGTTATCAATAAGCAACTGTACATAATATTATTTCATGTAATAACTAAATAATTATCGATATTTTTAGGTTGTCCTGATATTTGGTGTTTGCCCCATAAAATTAAAGTGAACCATATAACACAAAAAGGAAATATACTTGTAGTTGATATACCTCAAACAAAAACTTCAAAATCACGTAAATTCTCAATTAACAAACAGTTGACAGAAGTTGTAATAAATGTAGGAATCTACGTCCAAAAAATATCAGTACAACCCGCTTCTTTTTGAACATTAAAAATCAGAAGTGTACCAAACAACCTGTTGGTAAGAATAAGATTGCAGCTATACCAAAAGAAGTTGCAAAGTGGTTAAAACTTGAACATCCTGATTTATATACTGGCCATGCACTGCGACGCATATCAGCTACTCTTCTGTCAAATGCCAGAGACACGATGGTGGATTTAAAACATTTAGGTGGTTGGCAATCTGACTAAGTCGCATAAGACTATGTTGAAAATTCCATTCCGAATAACACTAAAATCTCGAAGTTAGTGACTGAATCATTTTGTCCCGACGAAAACAAGCCAAATCTCAATGAAAAAAGACAAATGAATCTAGAAATTGAAATCGAGGAATTTGACCAGAACAATTCATCACCTACTGTGAAAAAATTGAAAATCATCGTATCATCTATTGAAGAATCCAGTTCGAAAGATTCCAGATCACCAAAGCAGAAATCTATCTAAATTAGCAATCTTAGATTTTAAATATTTATGAATTTAGTTATGTGTTGAACTATTTTCAGTTAAGTTTATTATTTGAAAACTTCTCATTTATTTATATGATTAAAAACAATAGTCAATAATAATTTAAATTGTTTAAATTATTTATGTACATAATTAAAATTAAAATGTGATAATTTTTGTTGTAATTATTTTTGTTATGTAATAATTTATCATTCATATAACGTGAATAAACAAATTTACTGTTTAACTATTGTATTTCATATTTCGTTTTTTTTCAATTTTTGAATATTTATATTGTGGTTTTCCTCAGACCTGTCTTTACCTTCTTTCCCTCTCGTATTTCCTCCAAGTATAGGAATCTAAACCCGATTGTAAGATCGTGGAAAACGACAAATGAGTTTAGCTCCCCTGCGGACACTTTCCATGATGGGGTTGAAACTATTGTAAAAACTGCAGAGTCCCAGCCAAATGGGCCCATGTGCGACCGACGGTTCGAATTTTCCCTCCAGATATCTCAAGGCCTTCGGGTCATCATAAATTTGGTAATAAGCCCTGGATGTTAGTATGCGAAAAGTATCCTCAGCAGGGTACAGTCAAAATCTTTTGTAAAACCCTTGCCTTTACCTTCTACCCTAAACCCTACTAATGGCAAAAAAATCTAAGAGACGAAAGTACGTAAATCCTTACTCCCACTTTAATCCTTTAATCGTACGCTTAAGTTGACGACTCGTAAAACTGTACCCTCAATCCACTTTGTAGACGGCAAATAATGGTCTTCTTTATGCACTTTTTCATCATCCGAGTGTGAAAAAGCCCATTCGCTCCTCGTTATTCATCGTACTTTTTTTTTATAAAAAATGCATAGAGAAGATCATTTTCTGTTGTCTACAAAGTGGATGGAGAATAAAGTGAAGCGAAAATGGCATTTTCCCCCTAAGGGCCGCATTTTCTATTTTCGCTCCACTTTATAGATGCCGAAAATGGTCTTTTCTATACACGTGTTATGAAAAAATTCTTCTTGCAGGATGTCGAAAGCAATAGTATTTGTAACTGGGAACGCAAAGAAACTGGAGGAAGTCGTGGCTATTTTGGGCAATAATTTTCCAATAAAAATTATCAGCCAAAAAATCGATCTCCTGGAATATCAGGGAGAGATGGATGATATTTGCCGAAACAAATGTCGAGCAGCAGCGGAATTAATAAAAGGCCCAGTCATTGTCGAGGACACGTGCTTGTGTTTCAATGCGATGAAAGGATTACCTGGACCTTATGTTAAATGGTTCTTGGATAAATTAGGACCGGAGGGACTCTACCAAATGCTTCACGGTTGGGAAGATAAAACAGCGGAGGCAGTCTGTACTTTTGCTTATTGCCCAGGCGAACCGGAAGATTCGATTCTGTTGTTCCAAGGTAGAACTCAAGGAACTATTGTGAGTCCTCGGGGTACGCGAGAATTTGGCTGGGATGCGTGTTTCCAGCCTTTAGACAGCGATAAAACCTATGCAGAATTACCGAAAGAAGTGAAGAATAAAATTTCTCATCGTAGCAAAGCGCTAGAGAAACTGAAGGAGTATTTTATGAACAATGTAACACAGTAGATTAATAAATTCCTCTTTGCGGCAGTATTATACTGTATATCCATAATTTACTTCATTTTATGTTTCTGTGTATACAGATTGTCAATGAAGCAAATTCAAAAATGAACCTGTCCAAAATTTTTTGACTACTTTTCCTTTTTATTTGTAACATAACGAGAGTTTCCTCCAAATTTTTTTTGTGGGAGGCCCCGATATTTTTACCGCTTACGGCCCCCACTGGTCTCAATTCGCCGCTGTGTGTATATTAATTCTCGATCTCTAAACCGGAGGCATTTGCATCCTAATGTTTTGGCGTTGTTTCGTCTTCTCGTGTATTGAACTTTCCTTCTATCTTCCAAAACAAGTTGTAGCCAGATAAGCTTATTACGATAATTTTAATTCACGATATTCGAAGACGCTGTTTTATCAAAATTTTCTTCAAACCATCACCCACTGAAAAACGCATGTCACGAATAACACGGATTTAAATCATAAGAATATCAAAGAAACGCCTACAAATAAAGATTAAAAATATTTGTAAAATAATGAGATTAGAGAAAATAAACACTGTTTAAAACACGAATGCCTGTTTATTACTCCCTATCATTGTCCTTCGTATTTCTTGTAAATGATTATATGTATCACCAAAATATGTTCTGATATATATAAGCACGGTCCATAATTTTCGTAATCAACGATGATTTAAAATGGATTTCTTAGTAAAACGATAATTCAATTAGTTTCGATGTAAGCTAAGGTATTGAAGAAGTTCTTGTAACAAATAATGAAGCAGCTCAAAAGTTGATTCTGACAATCAATATTCGATAAAACACATTTATCAGCGTTTGGAAAATGATGCAATAATTTGTAACATTTTACCATATTAATTTTATCGTTGAAAATATGTATAAGTTCTTTTTCTCTAATTTTGCCGTTTATTTATTGTACAGGGAGATTAACGTTCATTTTCGATTGTTCGACGATTATTGGGTCTAATACATGATTATCGTGAATCGTATTATCGTTGATTACCATAAATGTTCGTACAAAAGCTGTCAGTTTTTCTTTATTACTTTTCTGAATATTATTGATAAAGCCACTTTGTAATCGACGATGCTTACAACACTGACGTATATTATACGAATGCAATCGCGAGGAAAGTTCCCAATGGGTCGTCATCGTAATGAAATTAATAACGAAGCTCATTTGCTGTTGATAATATTAGAATGCAATGAATGTTTAATGTCTGTCAATTAAATACGAAATTATACTTATTCATTATGTTACGCATAAACACGGAAACTTATGTGCGGTGTAAGAGCTCTGATAATAACTGCAAAAGTACCCACAGAATATTTTTTCAATGAAATAAGAATATTTAATAAGAGGAATATTATTACTGTTAGAGGTCAACGCTGAAATATCTACGACAATTAATTATCCGCTTGTACCAGAATGTAAAATGTGGGAATACCACAATTAGAAAATCAAGTTGGGCGATATTTTTTAAAATCATTCACGTAGCAAAGTTATACGATACTCGAACGGGTTATCTTTTACTTTGATGACACCGGCACAGCCAGTTAACAACACCCTTTCGGTAGGGGTTATCGTTATATTTGCACTTTCTTATTCTACCGGGATTTACAGATTTTTCGCCTTATAAAAGGAGAAAGCCGTGCAGCAGCGTTACCAGTCTTTCTGCAAGGGTCGTACTATAATGAATACTCTAATCGGTAAGTAATAAGAAGAAAAAAAAAGCGATAGTACGAGATTCATTTGAATATATCTCTCCTTCAGTTATTTATAACTTGAGATGTTACACGATCTTTTTATTTTGCAGTGTTATTGGGGATTCTAGCTGCGGCGCATGCCGTGCCAGGTACGTTAATTCCACATAAAGCAGATTGATATTCAGATAACAATATTAAGTACAATCCTCAATTAATTGTCATTTTTAATTTACTACTGTTAAAATAACTTTATCGAATGTTATCGCAGCTCATTTTCCTCATGGAAAAGTTGTCACTTATCAATATATCGCCGACGCGAAGGCTGGAGTCGTCGAGCCGTCTTTACATGCGTCTCAGTTTGGCATCGAAGGTCTTCTTCATATACACCACGATGTCACTGACCCAACCCTGAGAAATGCCTATTATGTCACCTTAACTGATGTCAAACATGGAATGCATAACGGGCATATGGATCCTGATCATATGCCTGTTACGCATCCTATCGCGGACGTCGCTAACGCGATACAGAACCCTTTTTTGATCGTCTTTGATGAAAATGGACATGTAAGCTCGAAAAACACTGATACTAAAAAACATCTCGTAATTTGAAAAAGACAGAATGTAAGTTACGTTGATAATGTTTCAGCTTCAAGGTGTGAAGTTGATGGAAAATGAGCCTGTATGGTCGAAGAACATGAAGAAGAGCATCGCTTCTATGCTGCAACTGGACTTGGCCAATATTCACCTTCAAACCCCGATAAAACACCACAGTTTCATAACTCATGAAGTAGGTAACGACTGATGGGAACATTCTGGGATTTTAGCTAATGTTCTCTTTGGTTGTTACCACTAGGATACCATACACGGCACCTGCGAAGTGGCGTACAACGTACACGCAATGGATCAGCTGCATCCAACGTCTAGCAACGTTTTCGTAGTTACGAAAATGCATGAACCGAGTAATTGTACTCATTTTAATCATCAAGTCTTCAACCACGCCGAACCCGAGCAATGTCACATTGAACAGCAGGTTTTAATTATTTCTTCGCGTATTTTAAAATACAATACGTATACGATCTGATAATTTGTATTCTCTTGTCTTTTCGCGTAGGATGGTTTCACTACAGCCAGCAGGCGCGTTTTCGAAATAGAACATCATGACCATGACATTCTTATTAAAAAACTAGTTAGTTATGGAGTGGTCAATTACCTGCCATGGTTGGCCAAATTAGAAGCGCATTATCTCATGACTAAGTAATTTCAGATAATTATATATTTCGATTTTTATTTTAAGTATAGAACATTTGTGGAAGATAAAACAATATTCTTGTTACAGTCAAACATTGATTCTCGATAATGTGTCTGCGGATGTGCCGCACACTGTCAATTTCCAAAATGTTCCGATTGTCCGCGACCTTGCCTTCGAAAAACCACAAACGCAATACGTTCCTCAGGCCGACATAGACGTAACTCACGGCCGACACTCAGTCAAATTGAACGAGCTGGTCGTTAAATTAAGGAAGATGCTAGACGAGGCTGCTGGTTACCTCAAAGAAAGTCATTTGGAAAAGAAACAACCTGACTGGAAACACGGCCAGACGATTAACAGGCTTCTCAACATTATGAGCTACATGAACGTCGAAACTTTGGAGCAAGTATGGAACGAAGTGAAAAATGCCAAAGACACCAAGGAGATAGCGATAAGGTATGTCTAACGGGTCCATTGTTCACCGAGAGTCTACGATTAATTATTTTTACAAATCTCTTCAGGAATATCTTCCTTGGAATAGTTCCAAATGTAGGAACCACAGCTGCCTGTCTTTTCACGCGGAACGTAGTTCGCACGAAGAGCGTACCGGATTGGGCTGCCGTTCTGATGCTTGGTGTCCTTCCTTCGCACGTAAAGGTTCCATCGAAGGAACTAATTGTGCAGATGGAGGAACTTCTCAACTTAGGAGACACCGTTTCCACCAATGTCAGAGAAGCTAGCATATTCTGTTTCGCGACATTGATCCACAAGACCTTCAAGCACGAAAAGCATGGAGTGGCCGATCCTCTTTTGGACAGATACTTGCAATATTTCACGAATCATATTAAGAGTACGTAATTTTTTTAATATTTAAAAAAGAACAATTTATCATGTGCTTGATGATTAATGTTACAGAGGAACCAACGCATCATATGAGAATGGTGTACATGATGGCCATGAAAAATGTTCAACTGAGTCATATTTTGCCACTTCTGGAGCCGATTATCCGCGGCGACGTAGTCGTTGCTGAAAAACCGCAAACCATCCGTACTCTTGCCATTTGGAGCATCAAATCCGTGGCCGTTGATCATTCACATTACATTCACGACCTGCTTTGGCCGATTCTTACAGACATTAGTCTTCCAACGGCGACTAGAATTGCTGCTTACGATGTTCTAATGACTCAACTGCCAGACGCGGGACATCTTATGAATATCCATTGGCTAATGGTTTTCGAAAAGAACGAACATCTCTACAATTATCACGTGGATACTATCAAGGGTCTCGCTAATTCCGTAGATCCTTGCTTGATGCCAGTTCGAGAGATAGCCAGCAAAATATTAAGCTTTACTAAACCTAGGCACGTAGTCGGTACACTTTCGAGTAAATTCCACGTAGAATATGTGGATGAAGAATACGGATTCGGTGAAACTGTGAAAGGATCTTTGGTCGTTGATCATTTGAGCGGCCTGCCATACGTCGGTTCGGTTGAACACGTTACATCCATTACGCGCAGACCTACGACTGGATGGGGAGTGAGTTTTTATTCCATTATAAATTTCGGAGCGTTTCTTAAAGTCCTTTTAATACGGTTGATCATTGTTTATTCTGTTTAGATTCATTGGAATATCGATGGTTTGGATAAAGTTGTGAAGACTACCAAGCACGAAGTACTCGGTAAAGCGATAAAAGCGATCAAGAATGAGAGCGTGAAGAATATATTAACAAAAGTAGCTTTAGATATGCCTCAGACTAAGGATATCGATATTAACGTGATGTTCACGATGAATAACAATGTCGTGTCGATGTTCCACTCCGACAAGAACAATTGGCTACAGATTCTGGATGAAATAAAGCAATGGAGAAGATTCCTTACCCAGTATATGAATAACATAAATTGGCAAACCGTCTTGTATCACAATCATTTTGAGATGCACATTCCTACCGATCTTGGCGTACCAGCCGTTTTCGCTTCGAAAGTGCCCAGCTTCGACTCTGTTAAAGGAAACGTTGTCCTTTCGGAAGATAAAAATCTTCTGGGCTTGAAGATAAAAGTTAAATATCAATGTTGGATACATGCCGAATATATGATGTCGATCTACAACCCTATCGCTGATACCTGGCATTCTATTCGTAGGGCATCGTCTCAGGACGTTGCTCTACCTATTGATTTGAACATTGGCTACAATCAGGACACAAAGAACCTGAAAATCACATTGCCAAGACTGCCTGTTTCGGACTTCTCGGTTGCTGGAATAGCGATTTACGCTAAGAATTATGTTACCATCACGGGCGACGAGACCGATCAACTGAGGTCCAGTTGCGCTTCTTGCCGTCATCATGAAATGGTTACCGGTAACATAAATTCGAAGACATACGAGAACGTGATCGATTCGAAAGACACTGGACTTCGCCTCACTATGGCAGTGCACAACTGCGAAAGTCATGTCACCCCTGTTTCACCCGTTGTCGAGTGGCTCAAAGTACTTTCGGATCAACACAAAAGTACAATGTGAGTGTCGCGTTAATTTTTCAAACAAAGAATTAGAGCGAACGATTCTAGAAGAAACAGTAAAATCTATTTACGTTATCTAGGGGGTACAAATGGGTGCATCTCACCATGGGAATTCGTCAGCATATGATGAGGGACATAATTTCGGGACAAGGAGCGAGTTGTACGACCTTGATCAAAGTTGAGCCAAGTATCGTTTATCCTACTTCAATGGTAAGTTACTAAGGATTGTACATGAATTCGTACGTGCGTAATTTAATTTTTAATTTCTTCGTATGTAATTAGGTCGACTTAACTGGAAAAGTCAGTGTACAAGATTTAGACCACACTCATCAAAAATTGGACTTATTCAGTAACATGAGAATCGATGTTCGTGGAACTATAAATGTTAAAGCAGCAGCTAGTGACGAATCCATAAGACAATGGGATGCGAACGTTAACGTTATATTACCTCAGGGCCATATGAACAATAGTATGAAAGTTATGATTACTCGTACAACACCAGGAGAGAAAGCTCTAAAAGTTAGTAGGATTTTTTCTTAATACTTTATTAGAAAGTAACTGATGTACTCTTTTAGATGTGTATCGAAGGACAAGTGGACTACCAAGCAGTTACGACAGACTTATTGAACGTAGATTATGGAAAGAAGGAAGTCAACTGGAAGATGACAGCTAACATGGGACAATCGAAAGAAGACAAATGTGTACGCGACGAAATGGACGTAACGATGACTGTGAAAGGCGAACTGTTGCCAGAACAGAAGGATCATAGCGTTCAGAACACGATGCACGATTTGTGCACTAAACAGAGACAGAATCCTCTGTTCCACACCGAAGAGTCAGACGTTCCTCGAACTTGGCATTGTATCCAGGATGCCATACTTCAATCGACATTGAGAAAATACACAATAAATATGGCGTTGAGAAAGGTATTTAAATGGGGATTCATCGATGATTTGTCTATGATACTATATTTCGTTATTTGCACCATAGGTACCTCCGCAGGTGGTATCGACGGCAAATATAATGCAAGACTTGTTGGGCGCTGTTTCCTACCCGTATGTAACATATACTTCGGAGCACGTAGAACCCGGAAGTGCAAGGATTATTTTGGAATATCCACTCTTGACATCTGTTCTTGATGCCACCGTTATGACTCCGACGCATAGTTACGAATTAGTACATTTACCAGTAGGCGATCCACTGTGGCATGTAATGCTGAGTAACACTCATTTTGGCGTCTCGAAACTGTATAAATATTTCAACGGGAATTTCATGCACTGCTCAATCTATCCCCGAGTTCTTTTTACTTTGGACAATGGCACTTTACCTTTTATTATACCGGATAAATGGACATTGATATCTGGTGATTACGTAGATCAAACATACAGTGTCTTCGTTAAATCAGTACAAAACGACAAGTTGGCCTTAAAGGTCAATATTGATGGAGTTGAATTAGACGTCATACCAGGTGATTCAGGAATTACGGTCACAGTGAATAATAAGCCCGTAGACAATTACGAAAAGGGCGTTATGGTACCAGAAAATGAACCGGAATCCTACGCTATCAAGTAAGTTACTTTGTCAACGACTTCTTCGAATAATTTGGTTTATAGTAATGAGGTGCATGATAGTAAATTGTTTCTTTTTTTATTAAACAGACTGACCAAAGCCTATAACAACATAGCAATTGAATCGCAAATGGTACCAATGCATATTTACTACGTACCAAAGAGCGTAAGCGTTATTCTGGATACTGTGCTTCAGGGTCAAGTGGCTGGTGTCTGTGGCCATATGGACGGCACGCATAAAGAAACAATTCCAAAAATTTATACCGTATCGCATTTTTAAGGCGATCGAACGAAATCATTTAATCATTCCCCTCATCCGACAATTACCATTTAATAGAAATACATAATTCGCAAGATGAAGTACACATAACATTAAGTTTGCTCTATTACGGATACGTGAAATAATGATGTAGTAATAAGAAATGGAAGAATAAAGTTTTATTTTGGGTAATCATTTGTTTTACTACTTTTGCCCTTTAAGGGGCAGTCTCTGATAGGGGTGCGATAAATCAGAATGTCAATGTTAACCATGAAAGTAAAATGTGAATTTACAGAACTAAACTTTTCGTCCTTATATAAGAAGATTTTTAAAATTCCATAAAAAGTAAATTTATTTCATTTGCAAGTATACATGTCTTTTGTTGATAAATAAAATACGTTCCGTACGCGCTGCGTTGTCGTTGAATGATCGACAGAAATAATTATAAGTATGCAACGCAGCTACAAATTGTACTGCTCTCGATCTGATTACAAAATATATTTTATATCTTATATCGCTGTAAATTCTATTACCTCTTGCTTAAATTAATTGTAAGTAGTTCTTCGCTCGTGCATCGGACAACAAAAGGAACTGTAAAACCTCATTTGTTGTTAGTTTCAATGTAACCATCAAGCCATCTAACACATCATAACGCATTGCTTTTTTTATTATCGATCTTCTTTTAAGCTGGTTTAAAGCGAATGATCGGTTAATAAATTTCCGTAATCTTGTATTTGTGGTGACAACATCGTCACGACCAGACTCTCGGAAGCTCTGTTAAAAATTGTACCAAAATGGGAAGCGAATTAATGTTACAATAAAATAGTTTCTTTCTTCTCGTTCATACATATATCATGACTAGGGATGTCAGAATATAGGATTTCTCCTCTTCCCGAGCTCTCCCCACTACTGCATGCTGCTGTATGCTCAATGTGCTCTCCCCACTTACATATGGCATTATTAGACGTGTCCCCAATGGGTAATGTAAGTGGGGGCAAAAAAAGTAATAGTGGACACAGGGTTCTCATAATTTGTCCCTCGGCCGGAAAGTGGGGGCGACGCAACCATAGTGGGGACTGGTACTTGATGGGGGTATGTTAGGCATGGTCAGCGAAGGCGAATGAGGAGAATAGTAGTGGGCCGAAAAAGAGGGGAAGCGAGCCGTGCGGGAAAAATGATAAGAACCCTGGGTGAACAACTCGGAAAGAGGAGAAATTCTACATTCTAGCATCCCTGATCATGACAGAAGTGTTTCTTGATGCATTGGTGCGTCCTACCTCCACTCATTTCGAATACAATTTTTCCCAAGTCAGATTCAAATTGGATTTGCAAGTTGTACAACTTTATATACTTTTATATTGCACTGTTGTTACTTGCATTCGAAACTTGTTTAAGGATGTATTGGCTATACAGTCAATCCCAAAAGTTTATGTACCTTAGAAAAACGCATTTCCTATAATTACGGAAGAACAATGATTTTAGATGAAAAATGTTTACTCGTTAAAGTTCAATTGGTTTCTAAACAACGAAAATTGATAATTTTTTATATTGTTATTTAATTTGTTATATTGTTTATATAAGTACTTTCCCATCACAAATTCTTGGCAGTGAATTCTGCAGACTTTTAACTCACTGTGATTTTTCAAAAAACCCATGAATTGATTTAAAATTTTATAGGTAGCTTTTTAATAGTAATAGGAATGTGTAATAACAAATTCAACATTCTAAGATCGTTTAAGTATATAGCCTATACATCTTTAAGACTCATTGAGTGATGCGCAGAAATAATTAAACGCTTGTGATAGAAAACTATCGTATAAAACTTAATTGCAACACTGATTAAATACCGACGAATTTTTGCTTCTATTCAAATACTTTCGCCATACATCACAATAATCTAACTCTAAAGTCATACACATTTCCCGTTCCTAATTAAAATACATCTTCGAAGATTATCTTACTGTTAATGATAGGCAACGAGATACCATTTACTGTACGTGAATCTTTCGTGGAACGTAAGAACTAGAACTTATCTTTGGCACGATGAAGAGGTATTTGCAGTTGTTCTTTTTTAAACACCATCTCGATCGTATAATTATAATTCGTCGATGCAAGCTGTAGAAGCCATTCGTTCGTTGCTGTCTCTTTTTAAAGTGCAACAAGCACCGGGCCGCAAGAAATTGAGACGGATTCATTTAGGTAGGGCCATCAGGCTTCTCTTGTACACCTACATATGTCGTTTCGACATCTCTTATATATTGTATACATCTAATCTTGTCTACGTTTAGCTAGAGCTTACGTGCTAAAAAAGATACTTTATTAATACCTCTCTTCTTATTTTGGCACAGAATCGAAAATCACACCGATCACAAACACCGAAAGTACTCTGCCTGTGAATCAAGTTTCGTAGACACCGTTGCACTTAAATATTTAGTTTTACAATATAGTTTCAAGTCGCATGATCCGAAATCACTGGGCCATGTGCATAAAGACAAGTAAAACCTTTTACTAGTGAAGTAAATACTTTCTTTCATATGCATAAAGTATGAAAATTTTACTAGAAACAATATTCACTGAATTTTCCGGTAAATACTTAAAATGTGTATGCATAATAAGTAGTATTTACTAAAAACTATGAGCAAATATTAATGCTATTTCCAGTTTGCCAGTTGCCAGCCTTAATTTCTCTAATGTTTGAAAGTGTCTACTTATTTTTATGCACACGACCGACTGTTTGTTCAAATATATAATGCTGTTATATACTTTAATCATTTTATGTACACGATGCGCATAAAAATAATGTATTTCCATAATGAACACTCTTGCATATGGCATTACTTTGTTAATAGCTTAACTTGGGAAACGAATTCGATATTTGATTCGAATCATAGCGACGGATATTTCGTACGTACTTGAAGACTTTCTTCGCTCGCTAAATGCCCTATGTACTTTGTAATTTCCTTTTTTACAACTATCATTCTCCTCCTGATTACTGGGAATTTTAATCAAGACTGGACTAAGCGGTAGCAGCGTTATTAAATTAACGACGATGTTATATACGCAGACTTATGTTGAAAACCATTACGCATTATTAGCATTGTTTAAACAGCTATAATTACTTTTAACAAAAAAGTATAACAATTCAGTTTGTTTAAATTAATAAATAAACAAGAAAATAAATAAAAAAATAAATAAATAAATAATTGACTACTTTAAAACGTAATAACGAAATGAGACGCTTCAATTTCGTAGCTCGAAGGTGCAATTCGTGTATAGGTGGATCCTTTGATGGTCCCGCAGGTGATGTCGATGCTTAAATCGCTTCTTGCACCAGGCGCATTGAAATCTTGGCCCGACGCCGCATTCGAGACGCAAATGTCTGGTTAAATTGCACTTGTGGGAGTAAGTACGGCCGCATTTCGGGCACAGAAACGGCGGACCATCCTCCAAATCCTTTAGCACCTTCCAGACTGCAACATGTTTTTAAACACACTGTGAAACATCGTTTGTCACGCGAGTTACACTGCGGCGCGACGGTGACATAAGTCGGCGGTAGTAGATGAAGCGTTTGGCGGCAAAGTAATAGGGTAACAACGAAACAGGGATCAGTTCGGGAACATTGAGCCATGCTATTGCAGAATAAATATATATACCATCTTATGGGAGATATCCATTTGTATCATATCGTTGCCCGTAAGCGTCGCATCATTCTACACCCTTTCAATTACGTATTGTTCATAAAAGTAATTAAGAAATATTTCAAATCAGCAATCATGGAAGACTAATTCAATTGAATGATTATTGTATTGAATTATTCAACAAACTACATAGACAACCATATGAATTAAAAAATTATAAAATATTATTATTTACTATATATTATATTATACATATATAACATATTTCATACTATATAGTATAAAATATAAAAAATAATAAGAAATAAATAAAAAATAAATGAAGAATAAAAAATAATAGATCACAAAAAATAAAGAATAAAAATAAAAAATGATGAAAAATAAAAATAAAAACCAGACAATATACTGTGTTGTATGTACGAGTGTAGTCGAATACAGAGTTAGCAATAATGCTGTGATGCTTATTATTGATACGCAACGGATACGATACGTAGATACGCAAGTGTATTTCCATCTTGAGAATCATGTAGCGTCTCGATGATCATTTTCTTAGCATAATTTCATTTGCATTTCTAGTCAGTATTTGAGATTGATCGCAAAACACTTTCAACATGCAGATATTACTGATGTTTCAATGAAGAATAAATTTTGTTTTCAAAAAAATAAATGGAGACTCAAGGAACAGAGAAGACCTTTTAATATGCAAATGAAACGTAAATATTATTAGACATGCTGTTTGGGCGATACGAAATCTTAATGACACTGGAAGATGATTATTATAGAAGAGAAATGAGAACAGATTTTGGAGAATATGGTAAATTTTTATAAATACAAAATATTTATTTTCATTTTGGTACAATTATGTTAAGTAGGTATTTATAGATACATTTATTTTCATCAATATAACACATATGTTCAGTTGCTCGGAGATTTAATTATGTACAATTTAAGTACCCCATGCGTGAACGTGTCTTTACTCGATCTTAGCTTGGAGCGAACATTTGTTACTATATTGTCGAATATTTATCTGTATATATGTATTGACATGTTATATATAATTTTCACATCCTTAAATTAACAAACTCGAAGGAGAAATGGCAATGAATAACAGTCTGTACATGTATAAGCGTGAACACAGGAATAACGATAGTCCATTAAAGCTTTTGATGAGTTCTCATGTGCAGAAGCAAATTATGCTTGTGCTTCGACTTCTTGTGACATACGGGACATTCGAATTGCGGCTCGACACCGCACTCAAACTTGATGTGCCTGTTCAACGAGTGAAGCCTCGTGTAAGCGTTTCCGCAACGCGAGCATGAGTAACTCGAAGGGCCGCGGACCGCGTGATTCCCTCTGAACGAAGCCTCGTTAAGAATACTCTCCGGCATCATGTCCGAGGCAACGAATTCGTTCCCAGCTCCGATATTCTCGTCCTCGGAAACCGTGTTCTCTGCCATTTGATTTTCCGCCATCAGTCGTAGATACAAACTCTGGTAGTGATAGTACCGTTCGATTGCTCCTGACGAGTACTTCCGCTCTAAAAAATAGACAACAGAATCAGTATTTCGGATTCGCAGTAGTCACCACGCTCACAGCTTCTCTTCGTTCAAACGTCATCGAATACGCCTCGTTCTCCGCGTTACTAATTAAACGTATTATTTATATGAACATTAAACACGATGATTGTTATGTAGGAACATAATACATAATGGGGGAATCGAGTATACGAGCTCACAGGGTATAGATCGATCACACAGAGAAGGCGTTATGATTAAACAGCGCGTTAAGTTCTCATACAAGCAACAACATTTTGTCTTGCAACATTTAAAGGACTTGGCTCTGATCTCTGATGAACCAGTGGAAGAGACAAGTTATGGTGACAAATTCCGATTTATTGAACTACAGAGAAATTAATAATACGTGTGATTGAAGAGTATAACAACATGTAAAACAGTGTAACCGATTTACAATAGTCAACACGATTTCCGAATATTCATACAGGTATCCGAATTTATTTACTTACGTACGTACGTGTAAAACTGATCTTCGCATTCATCGAGGGCAAAGATGGCCGACGCGAAAGAAATAAACGAATTACAATATCGTTAAACGCGGCGAGCAACAGTAAAACATAAATTATATCATGATCCTTAACAGGTAAAAAGTAAGCGCAAAGAGAACGATTTGCGAATCGCTTGTCTAGATTATGAAAATAGGCGTTTTCACGAGGAACACTTAATCGTAAAGATCGTCTCGTCTTTAACGAGACTTCGGTATTTTATGCCGTCCTTGGTAATGTTCGTTCAACTTGTACTGATGATAGAACTTTTTCGGGCACAGTTCGCAACAAAATTTCTTCTCCTTGTTACCGCACTCGACCCTTTGGTGTCTCAACAAACTGTCCCTCCACTTGTACCTCTTGCCGCAACCGAAACACACGTTCAACAAGTTTCCATCGGTGCGCGAATTCATTTCGATCTTCGACGGGTCCACGTTTTGATAGTACGGCTGAAATCCCGATGGTAAACCGTACGGTAGTTGCAACACGTTGTAGCTATCTGTAATTCAAGAAACAGAGAAGAATCGTTTAGGGACCGTACCTGAACACTTGCACGCGGGGATGAACGTTAACGAAATAATTCTAAATATAGCTTGAATGCCATAGACTCCTACACTGTCTAACTTCCAGGGAGCCAGATAAGCACGCGGTTAGAAGAATTCCATTAATAAGTGAAAATATAATCCTTTATTTTCTAATCGTTTACAATAATTTCGTGGAAGTATTAAACGGTAGCCTCAACATAAAAAAAAAAATAGAACAAAGTAACAATTGCCATCCTAAAGTGTGAACGAGGAAGGAAATAGAAAAACATAAGAAAATGAGATAAAAAAATTAAGTTTCTTTTTAGTGTGCGACCAAGGCAAGTAAACGAATGTATCAGCAATTCTAGCTGTTTTCTAACGACTAAAATAATAAGTATGTTGTGAGTCTTTGAAAGTATATTACAAAGTACCTCGTTGTCAGTGAAGCGATTTGGTGAGAGAGACTTGGAGATCAAAGAACAAAAAATTAGTATTTCCGGTATACTCCTTATAGATTGTGATAACCATTAACGTGATTTCGGAGCTCGTATCGATACTTAAACTTCCTGTCGCATAGCTGACAATGAAATTTTTTCTCTTTGTTGCCGCAATCAACCCTGAGGTGTCTCCTCAGGCTGTCCTGCCACCTGTATCTTCTTCCGCAATTCAGACACACGTAGATAGGCTCGGCGTTGAGCTCGGTCGTTTCGTAACTTCGTTGATTCGCGCCCCTGTCTTTGGTCGAGTCGTTGACACCCGATACGTGGTATGGTTTCGAAAGACGTGAAGCGAAGCGAAGGGACGAGGGCTCCCCATCTTCTCCGACGTTGCGAGCATTTCTCTCCAGCATCCACAAAGCGTTGTATTCTGTTGTCTCTTCGTAACCTGCAGTAAAAAACGTTCAATGGCAGCACGTTTCATGCAATACGAATTTATGGGAGGGCTAATGCAACATATTATAGCAAAGTTTCCAACGTTTCAAGTTACCGTTCGACAATTAACAGATGAACAGACATATACAGATTTAAAACAAATACTATCCCCTCTTAATTAGTTTAGTAATATACAAGAACCATAAAATGATTATAGTTATGTCTACAACAGGGCTGTAACACTAGCAGCGAATGTGTTAAATATGTGTATATACCTGCTTTCCTTAAATTTAATTCGTCCCTTGAATGCCAACTTGACATTCTAATGAAATATATATAGGGTAACTTTCAAGTGATACAATTCTTTATTGAAGATAAGAAAATTGTTCACATAAAATCTTTCATGAATTTATCTGCATACGAATATACTTTGCAATGAACGTGTCAAAAGTAGGAGACGGATTATAGCTGAAAAGACTGGCTTTTAGAAATAATACAGAATTTTAAAAATCTACATTTATCCATCCCATGAAAGGCAGGTAAATGACACAAAATCAGGGTTTCTTATAAAGAAACGGACATCTCGGAAGCCGTAGTCTCCTTGTCGCTGCAAACCAGCCTTCGATCTCTCCTCAAAATACCTAGTCTTGCCATATTGATTGCGGTAAAACTTTCGTCGGTGAATTTCAATGACAATGAACATCGAGCTTCTTTGAAGCACGGCTATCTCTACGGAATTTAGGATCAACAAATCGCAAAGCAAGTAGCTCATCGGTACTTAGTTGGTCCCGAAACAAAATCTCGCAAATATCGTCTTGGTCCCTACTCGCGTTGCAATAGAGATGCGTTCTCGGTCATTAGCGAGCATTTTCGAAAATTCTCGCATCGTGTTACCTCACCAAAGAAAATAGAAGCATGCTCTCGTTTCGTCTCTAGCCAAATTACCTTGCGTCCATCAGCACTCGCTTTCAAGGAGACGCTTGAGTTAGTAATCAGAAATATGATCGTAGACGAGCGATCGGTTATTGAGAAAGTTTTTCGTACAAGAAAGCAAAGGTCACAGATATCATTCCAACAAGATTTTATTCGTTTCTGAACAGTTCAAAAGAACATTACATCAATGGTAAGATTAATATTATTCGGGGTATATATTCATAGTAACTTATGCATATCATAGTAATAACATTAGCGCTAACGTCTTATTTGTATACGCCTGTAGCATGGGGAACAAATACATATTCTTTCGGATCAAAATTATGACGGCATCCGTACGATTTTGTTACAATTACCGTAAAATTAATTAAAAACGTTCCATTTCCAATGGAGTCTGCGATTTGTGAAACAGGTTCGAGTGCATCGATTTCACGTGCGAGATCAACGAGAGCATTTTGACGAACTTCTTCCCGCAGAATCGGCAATAAATTCTGTCCCCCTTCACTCTGCAATAGTTCTTCTCGTGTCTGCGAAGGCTGTCGAGCCGCGAGAAGCTCTTCCCGCACTCCTCGCAGATCAAGGTCTTCGCGATCTTTTTACGTTCTTCCGCTTCCGCCAACTCGTAGCTGCTCGCGACGAACTCAAACAATGTTTGCGGCACGTCGTACTCGTTCTGCTGCTTCACGAACCAATTGGTCAGCTCCGCACCTCGTTCCCCTGCGAAAGCAACGAACGGTCTCGCGTTAACAAAATCGTGCATTCGTGTCGCGATTATGGTTGACAAATAAAATGGGGAAGCGCATGCAATTGCGGAGATTACATAAATTGTTTGCTGCCGCTATTCCTGCTTCAAAAGCAGTAAGCGCAAAATCGAGATCTGTGATTATCTAGAATCACTGAGATCATCTTAACGCAGCTAATTTATTGATAGATTACATACATATACGCCCAAGTACGTTTTGTTATGTTAGACTCACGTACACATATAAAAGTGCTGTAACCATACATCAAGACTGTGTATGTAAGAGCATGTTTTTACTTATTCAAGTACTTACAATTAGTACAGAATATGCAAGCCAAGAGAAAAGAAGTCGTGCCGCGGTGGCTCTGGTAGCTGGCAGGTCCGACGTTATTTAGATAAGCTATTTTCATTGCTATAGACAGACTTTGTAGTCCGGGAGTTAACAACAGGTTTGACCTAGTTCATATGTGAATAGTAGTTAAGTATTAAGACCTTAAAATAAAAAACGACGAAATTCACTGAACTGTTGCTATTTTTTTGGACAGTTATACATACGACAGGGTGTCCATTCCGAAGTGTCGCAGTCCGATTACTGCAAAATACATAGACGATATAGAAATTTGGTTCGATGATAGTTGCATGGTAAAAGGGGAGAATATTTTTCCTACATCATTATTTTATTAGATACGAAGGTGAAATTTCAATTTTTAAATGAAATTATATATTTTTTGTAGAACATTCGAGTACGTTTAAAATAAATTTCCTTTGTATTCCGACACTTTTGTCTTTAGATAAATATAATCAATTAATCTAATAAAGGAGCAACGAAGGATCGGAGAGAATAGGAGGGCTCTGTGGCTATGAGCGATGGTTTTATATTTGTATTATCATTTAAAGTTTGTCTATATTTATAATATATAAAGAAAACTCGTTGAGCACAAATGATCGTTTACTAAAAAAACAAGGTGCGATAGAAAACATTTAAATTACAAATGTTAATAAAATCGGTCAACTCGTATGAAATCTGCCATGTGTCCTCACGAAATGAGTCTGCAAATTGTCTGGTCGATGATATCGTTTACGGCATATTTTGCATCGAAATCTGGGCGACATTCCGCTGCATTCGTATCTCTGATGTCTGTACAGAGTGTATGTATACTTGTACGTTTTTCCGCATCTGCATGAGTACAATGGAGTCGGCTGCAACGCGTGTTCGATCGGCGCTTGCGGTTGGCCGTCAATGGCGGCGTTCAGGAAAATAACATTCTCTGAAATCAGACAAGATCCATTAATTATTAGTACTGTGAAATAGTCGCGGCCCAAAACCATGCATAATCAAAGGGACAACGTACAAGAACACGAGAAGAATCGAGAGGAGCGAACACTCTGTTCTTTGTGATATTCATGCGATATTCACACAATTTCTACGGATCCCAAAACAACTTTATTAAACATCGTTAGACCTTAAGACAAAATACAACACGTAACAGAAACATTGAGAGTTTAGAAACAACGACGGCTTACAAAGATCGAGGAAGTACCATCAGATTCGAAGAATTTATTACAAAATTTTTAGTCCTATCTCAAATCATGTCTGTATGTTGAGCGAGTAAATGTTCTTTCAGTCTGTCGCGCCTGTAAAACTTTTTTGAACAAAAATGACATTTGTTCTTTGCTTCTTTGTTACCGCATTGAAGCTGGTGCCGGCGCAGGCTGTACAGCCACGCGTATTCTTTACCGCAGAGCGTACACGTGAAAAGCTGCTGTTGCTGCTGCTGTTGTTGCTGGTACTGTTGCTGTGGCTGTTTCTTGTTCATATCGGATGCGGAATGTGCATAGTAGTACGGGTCGTTGAAGTTTGCTTCCTTCAACGAATCTTCCTTCACGGGAGTCTCACAATAATGTTCGTTCGACGTGCTCCACACGGACGTGACCAGGAAACCTGTCGAAGTAACATATTTGTGAACAAACAGCATTGAATAAAAGATAGGATACCTGAAGACAAGGATACCATTTTTGACAAAATTAATCGACATAACGTAAAAGAATCGACGAATTTGGATAAGGATAACGAATGCAGAGTTGAACGAATTAATAGGATCAACAAAGATTTCAAATCGATATTGGAAAATCATTAATCACGAGTAAACTTATTACTGGAATCAGATATTTTTTATAAAGATTTCAAATTCTAATAATTTTCTACATTTTCTGACCAACTCTGACTCTGACCAAGTACGTTTTCCAAGAAGCAAGCAATTGATTCTTAAAAATTGTGGGGAACAATTTCATTCAATTATATTATTGACAGTCATTTTTTGTTCTTTGCACTGATTTATTTGTAGATACATAGAAAACGGCGAAATATAAAGCGTTGCGGTTGACAACATGTTGGTGCGCGTTTCGCTGGAATAGAAGTGTCGTTTTATTTAAATTATAATTCTCCGTTCTTATTTAACCGATGTACATTTACCATTTTCCTTACTTATATTAACAAAGGAGCTTTATCTCAATGCGTCTCACAATCTCAATGTGTTTTCTATACATAAAATTGTCAGATGCGATTGACAATAATATTAAACTCGACCTTTTTGTACAATCAAAATCGCGTTTATAATAATTTTAATAAAATCTTTGTGGGTTAACATTAGAAACAATAATGAACAATGAATTAGAAAAATCATACATATTGCGAATTAATCTGCATGTTTAAGCCAAACGTTTCTATATATAAATCCGTAATTGCTATTACGAAGATGGAAGTACTTTAAACACTCCTTCGATCGCATCATACGTTTATTCTCGTTCATCTGCGAATATAGGCGATTCGGTTTTCTTTTGAATTATATGTTGTAGCTTTCTTTGGCATCCGACGATGTGAGCGTTCAAGACGAATCTATGCTTGAATCTTCGGTCGCATATGGGGCAAACCTCGCAGGGTATGACACCGCATTCGAGTCGCTTGTGACGGCTCAGAGACGTGGTGGCCTTGTACGTTTTCCCGCACCTGTTGCAGACGTACTTCGAATCGACGGCGGATCCCGTGTGCTCCTGTCTTCGATTTCTGTTCGGCTCATATGCCATGCCGTGGTAAGGCAACGGATTCCACAACGCGTCAGTTTCGTTCTGCGAATGATGCATATCCTGCGACAGCAGCATCGTTGCCAGAAGTCCTGAAACGAAACGAGTCGTTGGTTAGACGCTGGACCACTGCATTCTCCTTGCTATTGTTTCGTCTTCAAGATAAAACTATAAAGCAGGTGTATAATAGAGAACTTATCAGCAATCGTAGTAGTATACGTTTACTAAGAGACATCATATTTGCTTTTATTTTAGAGGTCAAGTGATTTTCAATAACAAAATAATGCTGAAACATAGAAAAAAAGATGGGAACAAGCATACGGTTTTTATATTATGTATAGGAATTCATGTGGAAAATGTGTATGATAGGTAAAGTAGAAGAGCAAAAGTGGAACCTTGAATAATACAAGCGAAAGAATAAACTTATTACTCATAGCTGAGACGATAGAGAGACGTATCCTGAAAATTGCTTGATAAAATGCTAACAGGGTAAATGAAAATTATATAGACAAAAATAGGTATTTATTAAATTCTGTAAAAAAATTCTTCACATCCTTTATTATATTATTATTATAAATTTTAAATAAAATTATAATAAATTTATCCTGTTATTTCTACCAAATCTTTTCTTTTATAGCCAGCTAACTCTTGTTTTCACAGAGGTGGATAATAATACTTGACGCGTTATAAGATTACAGTTTCTATATTAATGCAGTAAAATGTAAGAAACATAAATATTCCATGTTACAACTTCTTTTGAAATAGCTTCATAGCCGTTTTTCGTATGAGCGTATCGGATGAAATAAATCTCACTGATAATTTTCTTAGCCTTCTCATTGCAACTGCACTGCACGATCTGTAGATCTTGTCTTCATTTCAGTAGTTGCCTGAGTTTCGATATTATACTTGCACCGTTAGACATACGTTGCGTCGGCTTGAACTAGTACAGGAACTTCTTCTCAGAAAACTGCCAGCCGTGTATAAGCTTCGATTCACGCCAAAGTCTTCGATGCCATTGGAGCAAGCCTTCCGATCGGTATCGTTCTCCGCATATCCCGCACTTGTAAAGCAACGGCTTCTTTTCCCAGCGCGAATTATCGATGTCCTTCATCCTTAACCGTGGTACTGAAAAATAGACAAAACAGGAAAATTTCGGTAAATAAAGGAGGACAAAGTTTTTCGATCAATTTTTGTAAGTGAGATAGTGTAAAATTGTTGTTATGTAGTCTATAATTATGTACATTAATTTGTCGTGTTCAGCTACTATATTATATAATTTAAACGAACACAATGACAAACAAGAGCCTTGAAGGAGAACAGAGGGTAGAAACGAAAAGTGCGTGCGTTCAAGAATTAACTTCTAGTGTGTTCAATAAAGTTTGTCATTTTTAGGAGCTTGTACTCGGGGAATAGGTAGGATAATACGTGCATTGTATGAATTGTACTTACAATATTACATACAAAGTATTTTCAGTAACACTTGACGTTTATTTTCTGAAAAGAGGTAACATATTGTCGATTCAATTGAAACGTGAAAGAGGCTCCATACAATTGATTCAGTGACTAGCTAATTGTTTCGGATTGCTATGTATTTTTGTAATATATATATAATGATAATGAGAAATTAACAATAGTTAGAAAACGGACAGTTAGATACACTAATGCGTGTTCGCGGCACGACCGCAGGACGTAGAGAGAGCGAGCGATTCTCGCCTGCCTCGCACGTATGATTCCTATTCCCCCCACTTGCCTAGGATCGCCCGTCCTAGTCGCTCTCGTATATTTTGGCAATATCACACGGATGTTTCTGGTCTATTATATGTTAAGATAGTGTATTAATCTGGCATGCGATTGCCAACGGTGTTTGTGTTTGAACTTTCTGCCGCAAATCGGACACTCAAACGCAGGATCCTTGCCGCACTCGACCCGCAGATGCTTCTTTAACGAGTCTTTCCACATGTACTGTTTGCCGCATTGCGAGCACGCCCACAACTTCTTCAAGGTGACTGAAAAGAGAAATCCAGAAATTATTTCGACTGCTCTACGAATCTGATCCCCGTCTTTGGTTCAGGCACACGCTAATCAAGTTTCGCACAACACAGCTAAAAGCTACAGGTACGAAACACAAATGTTTTACGTAAACCGGTGACCTGACAAGGCACATCGTTTCCAACCCACGGATCTGTGAGAGCGACTGTACGCACAATTCGAGTGCACAAGGGAAAAAGTGAAGAAAGGAACATGGAGTATTTTCAGTTATTTTCTCCGTTCAAACTGTATTCTAGTAATAAAATATTATTTTGGCACACAACAGTGAAATACGTGGAACATTTCATTCTCCGTTACAAGTCGATACAGTGTATTGATTTCGCGTGCGACCGCCACCGATGCTTGTGCTTGAACTTCTTGTTGCAAATCGGACACTTGAATGTCGGTTCCTTGCCACATTCCACCCGGATATGATTCTGCAAGGAACCACGCCACTGATAACGTTTACCACACTGAAAGCAGACCCACATCCTCTGCCAGTAAGCTGCAAAAGAAAAAGAAACACATCGCATCGATTAGTGTTCGACTTTCACCGAGTCTCCTCGCTAGTAGATCGTT